GACAAAGTGGTTCATCTGGCCTTCGCCGTCGCCGCCTCCCAGTGAGCTGAGAGGCAGCTGGACTTTTCCCGTTGGACAGCTTCCCTGGCATCGAGTTAGTCTCGAATTGTTGGATGAGATGAGATATCGAGGGAGGGGTCTACATCAATCTCACAGCCAAAGTCGGCACCTGATATCGCGACTCCCTGTTGGGCAAGAAAGGTTAGACACATTGGTCCGAAGTCTTGTTGTAGATCATATGAGACTTGCCAAGAACTGCACCCTAGCGCATGCTGCCGCCGTCAACCCCAAAAGTGTAAGTGTCTTTGACAACATATTCGATACCTAAGCGAATGAAAAAGAAGCGAAAGTGAAAATAATCTGATGGTGTCAAAAAAAGAAAGGACTCAATCCGAAGAATCGAAGAAAAAACTGCGGCCCAAGAAGCGAAGGGCAGCACGAAGCAAACACGAAAGGGGGGCTTTGGTTGCAAGAAGGCCTGGGAAGGAGGATCAAGAATCGTCTGTACATAAGGCAGCGGGGAGCCGCATGACATATCTACTACCGGCAGGCCATCGACAATGCTACTTTGGAAAAAGGGAGCGTCCAAGAATAGTAGTCAACCCATGGGCTATATGACATGACACCAGCGAACGGGATGGCGGGACCGAGAGGTGAGATGTGGACTTCTTTTCCTACCCCCCTGCCCCCCTTTCTCCATCATCCACAAACAGCCCAGCTGGAGAGGCACTGGAGGCCCTGGAGGAGGCAGTGAACCTGCGAACAGCAAGTTGGCCGTGAGTAAATGGCCCCAGCCTGCCATCCGATGGTCGTTTCTGTGCGACAAGATTCATGCGGCGAGCGCCACGAAGCCTGGTCGGACGAGGGTCTGCATCAGACGGTGGGAGTTTCATGTGCGGACACCAAGAGGCTCCCTAGGGTGATCCGCGTCCCGTTACCACCAGGGCCCCAGACACGCGATCGTCGGGGTGGGTACTATCAGAATGCAGCCCAATATGAGTGGAAATCTAGCGATTTGGGGATAGGTCCGGGGATAAAACCGATCCGTCACTACTGTTCTACTCCGTACTGTCCTCCAAAGTCCAAGTTGGGTTGTGAGCCTCAATGAGAGAAGGGGGAGGGGGAGGGTGGGATGGGGCGCGCACGGCCTCGGGAGCGAATGGGAAGGGGTTCTCGGGCTGGCCGGGAGGCAGAGGGTCGGCGTTCCATTGTGTCGGTTTTCGATTGAATGCGGGCTTGGCTGAGGAAGATTGCTATCAGTGTCGAGCCTGTAGTCACAAACAGCGCAAGCTTCGAGACACGCCACAAGCCTCGCAGTATGAGATCGCCAGACTTAATGCAGGTCTTGCGCGAGTATCACGGTGCTCAGCCAAGGTCCAGATCTTCCCGCTGCCAGTGGGCGAGCCGTAGTGCGGGGTCACTACCGGCACGCCGTTGAGTAAAGTAAGTATGCTGTGAGTGTAGGAAGTGCTCGGGTAGCAAGCCGGCAACTAGGCGCCCTTCTGCATTTGTTAGTTATCAGCACAGAGTTGATCCGAGATCGAGAAGCTATACCATCTCCAGCTTGTCGTAGCTACTGATTCAGAAGAGAGTGTCGTAAAGCTTTGGCACTAGCGAGTGACTGGAAACACACAGTTTACATCGGCGCTGGCCACAGGGGATTGATAACTCTTGCGAGAAGATCTGCGCCTGAAGCAAACACTCGCCGGCCGTACGCGTAAGAGGCCAGTCCTTTAGATCACGCAGAGCTCTTTGCAGAAATGCAACAAAGACCCACTCGGGCCGATGATTTAGGTGTTTGACTCGGGGTGTTGTTTGTCTGGTTGATCCTGCGTCCGAGACATCGTTGTACAGCAGCAGTTGTTGTACCACTCGAACTGCACCGACAACCACCCTTCATCCTGTCATGGATACGTCTGCTTGTCAGCTTCGCGTCTGGAAGAAGGCTAAACGTTCAAGGCCAGGCTCAAGCGCTATCTCTTGGGTCCAGCGTCTTTTGGCGGACATCCAGGGACGGCCCTGGGATCCTTAGACTGAGCCTCCAAACTTTAGCGCGCAAGCACTGACTGGGTCAAAGAGACATCCCAATGCCGCGTAGGATGTTTGTTCTCTAAGTCGACCAGCAATGAGAACAATGTATTTCTGAAAGGACAGAGTCCTTTGGGAGTAGTGATGAGAATTTGGCCTTCTATCGGTTGTTCTTTCGCCAGGATCAGAAAGGAATTGCTCCTAGTAGACCTGCCGCGAGTTCCAGAAGCCCTTGAAGTTTGACGGGGCAATCCACGCAAGTCTCACTGACGAGGACTCGAGTGCGCATACACTGCCTGGGAGGCAACAAAGAAACAGTGGTCTGAAGTTGGCAGTGAACTCTGCGATTTGGCAACCTCGAAGAGAAGAAGAGAAGAAGAAGTGCTCCGTGTGCTTGAGCCATGCGTGACCGAGAGAAGAAGTCCTCCCTCTGGATTAGCACCATTCTTTCCCACGAGACCGGCTTGGTTACATAAGCCACCATCAGCTAACTTGATGAAGTGGGCACGGAAACGCCTGCCGGCCACGTGCCGGAGGTCTCATCGAGGTTCCGCCATACATCGGAAAATGTCAAGATAGAATTCTGAGGTATTTGAGGTATTTGCGAGAGATTCGGCAAAAGACTCGTGAGAGTTGTCAACCGATAGCGGACCTCATACATCCGCGTCTCTTCGCAATGACTACCAGCAATGGTGACATTGTGGGGCCGCGCGGGGAATAGAACGATAAATACCGGATGATGTCCCTATATGCTACATATCGCAGAGACAACACATCTTGAAATCATCTACATCACTGACAACGCGGCTGTATCACTCATTTAATCTGCACTCAAGATCTCGTCAACATGTCTTCCCAGAGCTCAAACCCGCCTCTCCTCGATCACATCGTGATTCTGGTCCCCCACCAAGTCCTCGCCTCCCTCCCCACTTGGCTCTCAACCGAATTCACCATCCTCACAGGCGGCCGGCACGCTGACGGCCTCACGGAAAACAAGCTCGTCATCTTCGCAGACGGCACCTATCTGGAAATCATCTCCTTCGTCGCGGGCATCAGCCGGGAAGACCGCCTCAAGCACAAGTGGGGTCCGAAGCCGGACGGCACCATCATCGACTGGGCCTATTCCCTCAAGGACGAGTCCGGCTTCGCCGAGATCCAGAAACGGGTGCACGCCGCGCAGTCGCTGGCCGTGTACGAGGACCCCGTGCCCGGCGGGCGCATCAGGCCGGATGGCGAGGAGCTGAAGTGGGCCGTTGCACTCCCGGATAGCGCTGCCGGGGCCGGAGCCGGAAAAGTGGAGAGGGGCGAGTTGCCGTTTTGGTGCTTTGACCGAACGCCGCGGAAGCTTCGTGTGCCGGATCATGTTCCCGAGAATGTGAAGCACCCGAACGGATCACTCGGAGTTCATTCAGTCTCGCTTCACGTGAGTAGCGAGGACTTCAAGAAGGCCTACGCTGGCATCAACGACCGCGCGGCGGAGGAGGGCGGCGATGGTGTTGGGCGGTGGACGTTTGATGTTCCCGTTCGTCAGTTTGACGATCCTAGATATCTGAACGTTGAAACCATCTCTAGCAAGCAGGGTTCTAGACAAGCTATCCGCTTCGCTTTGTATACCGCCGCGGGTACGACAAAGCGGTCTATCGGCGGCGAACTTGGCGGGGGCGTCTCTGTTGAGATTGATTTAATTCCCGTGTCCGGTGGCTCTTCCTAAGCGTTCAAAAGAAAGTGGCTTGGAGACTCGCGATGCTTCATGATGTTTCATCAGAAAGCATTATGGAGGGTGGTTTTTAAGCTGCCCAAACCTGCTAGGCATACGTTACCGCATGTAGAAAGAAAATTAAGATGAACTTTGATACCATGCTATTGTTATGGTTGCGCCTAGCAGCCAGAAACAGGTACAACACTGCCTCAACGAACTCTCTCCTTTTGAAATCTCATTTGCGGCATACCTTGGCACCAACAAAAGTTTGTGATTTGCCGTCATCACACAAACGAAAGATCAGAAGCTTGGATCATCGTCAAGTCCCGATCTGAAAAACAACCTTCCATAGAATAGGTCAAAACTTGGCTCCCCTAGCCTGTAGGTTTGAGATGGGAGGGATACCCAGCATCCATGAGGTTTAGAAGAGACGCGTTCGGCCTTAAAGATGCAGGTATATGTTTGGACAGACAAGGCCCTCGTTAAGAGCCTCATCGTTCCAAATGTCGAAGCAGGTGGGGAGTGATCAAGGCTTGACAAGTATAAGCTTCACAGCAATCCACAGGTCACGAAGTTTACGGCTGTGGGCTCGTCGGTGACACCGTGATTGATAAAGCACCTTGTGGGATCAGAGAACGTATATAGGCAGCCATACACCCGATAAGCCAGATGCCGACCGCATTGCATGATTCTCCACCCACTATTTCGTCTCTATAATCAAAGAACAAGCAAGATTTTCCTACTAAACCGCCCCTGGCACTCGAATTCAACCCTGAAAATCACCCCAAGCCTCAAAAACCTCTCCAATATTTGTGAAGACCTACCAAATCGGTAACGGCATCGCAAATGAGGCTCAACAATGATGCAAAGGAGTTACCTCCTGAGACACCTTCCAATAAGGTAGTCACCAAGGGTCATCAGACTCGAAAGCTGATTCTGAAAATGGGTTGAATAAAAACACGGAGATGCTCCACACCGACGCATGCACTGGGCATTTTCAGGACTCTCAAGAATCATTTCAAGCGCCGATTCCAACGACTTCCGAAACATCTTCCTTAGAAGAAAGTTTTGACAGTCAAGAAGAATCATCGACCCCATCAGTTGGCGACGAGGGAAGACTGGATGATGATCACGAGAGATTTTCACCCCCCGCACTTGTCACTAAGGTACCTTAACGATATTTTGCCTCTACTGTGTGTTCAATTTCTGGGATAAAGTTTCACGAAGATCCTTCACCACCCTTTGGTCGGAAATACTCTTTATTGTTGCGACAATGGTTGCGCTGGCCTCTGTATTTAACCCGCTCAAGACTGCGACCGGCCTTGGTTGTGTCGCCTACACCGCCCTTCACTTTTGTATACGAAGGCATTCCTTCTCCGTAGTTGGTGAATGGAACCGGCTTCCTTGGGACCTCAAAGTCATCTACTACCTTCACGAAGCCGATAATATTGGACTCCAAATCCTCCTCATGACAAGTTTAGTGGCCTGGCTAGGCCCCGAGACATGCCAGATCGCCTTGAAGAGACATATACCAGCTTGGATGAAGGAGTTACTCCCGCACTTCATCGCCAAGAATCTCTGAGAATGACTTTTTGAGGGTTCCGAGAACCTGGAACTTGAGATGCTCTTACGATAGTAGCACATGTTAGGGGGCGGGCGAATTTGAAACCTCGTTAATATGCAGTTTCGACATTACGACCGTCATCAACACATCATAATATCACTATTATTTGTTGTATCACTGAAATCTATATATATATCAATACATGGATCTCAGTCGAGGACAGATCAAGTAGACGTAGCTTCACGTGAGATTGTGTTTTCTTGACGTATTGACCTGCGACTTTCGAGTGAAGCTCACATACCAAGCTTAGTTACGGATCATGCTTGATTAAAAGAATGGAGGTGTGTGATGGAGTTGCAGTGGACCGAACTCAGGATCACGATGCAGGATGGCTCATGTTAGGAAGACGCGACAGGTGGAGCGTTGACGGGTAGTCCACAACAGCTAGCTTATTACGCTAAGAAAATGGATCCAGGAACAAGGTCATGGCATCACGCATACATCATCACCCATGATCGCGGAGATTGAATACGGCGAGACTGCAAATTTGTGGCACATCTTGCAGATCTCAGTAAGTTTTGTTAGGAGTGAACGTGATAAATTTTGACGATATGTTTGAACTGCTTTATCAAGTCTAGTACGTGTGGTATGAAATGTGCTGTAGTGTTTGAGGTAGCTACTGCGTTACCTGAATGCGGCATTGCGGCATTAAATTACCGGAGGCTGGCGAAGAGCAACCAGGGGCGCGCAGCTTAATTCATCACATTAACCAATTGAGATTACAGTGTTCTTTTTTACTTGTTTGTCTATTATTTTAAAGTAGTCATAACATCATATTCAGGACAAGAAACCTTTCAGTCTTCCGTATCCATGTGCTGTTGTTCCGCCCGGTTTACACAGAAGACGAGACATTTACCGGCAGCAGTAACCACCGTCAATGACGATGTCGGCACCGGTGGTGTAGGTGCTAGCATCTGAGACAAGGTACACGTAGGCACCCTTGAGCTCCTTGGCATCACCGTTGCGACCCATGGGAATCATGCTCTTCCACAGGTCCTGAACCTTCTGCTCGACGAAGTCGGACAGGCCGGTGTCAATGTAACCGGGAGAGATGGAGTTGACACGGGCAAAGTCGCGCCACTCGTTGGCGAGAGAGCGGGCCATGTGAATGCAGCCGGCCTTTGCGACGTTGTACGAGGTCTGCTCCTGGGGGTAGTTGGCGATGTGGCCGGACATGGAGGCGGTGATAACGAAGGAACCGGAGCCGCGCTCGCGGAAGTGGGCGCCGACGGCCTTGGCGCAGTACGCGGTGCCGTTCAGGTCGATTTGGATGACGTGGTCCCAAGCCTCCTTGGTGCCGTCAATGATGCCGGCATCGGCGGTGGCACCAGCACTGCAGAGAGCAAAGTCATCAGTTATTTGAGTTACATTGGAGAGTTGCACGGGGTTGAGAGGCTCGGGAACTCACTTGGCGATGAAGGCATCAATCTTGCCAAAGTCGGCGATGATCTGCTTGGTGGTCTTCTCAACCTCGTCGTAGTCGCTGACGTTGAGCTTGTAGATCTTGACCTTAACGCCGTACTCCTTCTCGAGCTCGGCGGCGTTCTTCTCAGCACCCTCCTTGCGAGAGGAGTAGGTGATGGCCAGGTCGGCACCCATCTCGGCGCAGCCGCGGGCAGCCTCAATGCCCATGCCGCGGGGGCCGGAGGCACCCGTGACAACGACGACCTTGCCCTTGAGGCTGAAGAGGTCCAAAAGACGGGAAGCGGTGGGAATGGACTGAGGCATGATGAAGGATTGGTGGTGGTGAATGTGGCTGGGTTGTAAAGGTAAAAGAGGCGTCTGCAAAGATTGAAGAGAAGGCTTTTTGGGGTATCAAACTTTTTGGAATGAAAAAGGAAGAGAGAGAAAAGCTCGAAAAGATCAGCGGGAGAAAGGCAGCTTTGAATAGCTGAGAGTACGGCGTGCTTCGAGCCCAAAAAAGACCGAGGGGTCAATAAGGTGGCATGATGGAGGGGTAGCTTTGGGAATTGGCCGGCCGTGACGGCATCCCGGGAACCCCGCTGATGTCATTGATACAGGCACGGACTAGACGCCGGGGCTAAATACGGACCAATGCTCAGCAATGAGGTTGTGAGGAACGTCTAGATACATGGGTGAACCCATGCCCTCCCTTCAAGTGCCCGCCAGTCTGGTGGATCTTAATTAATGGGACCCGGATGGGCCGCAGGTAGACATTGAGACAGTATTGCCGTACTCCTACGCATACCTAACAGAGAATAGTCTCAATCTTTAGAACAATACTTTTGTACTTGTTATGTACGAATCTGTATCTGAGTAATCCCACATGCGAGGACTGCAGCAATATGCGCCATGCAGCTCGGACAGCTCATCAATCTGATCTTGGTGCTCGCTTGGCGCAACCTTTTCCTGCCGACTACTAATCCAACCGCACTGACCGAGAGTCGGGCAGGATTTGTCGAACTGCAGTATTTGATATCTTCAGTCCGAAGAATTGTAGAGAACTACGTAACTAAGTACGGCGGCGAGGTGAGTTTGTTCTTAGCTTATTACCAAGAGGGAAAAAACCTGGCAACCAAGTTCTAGGCCTTAATGGAAAAACCACGCCGCCCAATCGATCTCAGAAACTACATGGTTGCGGCCAAGAGTCCAGTTGTGAGATCCACAGAAGCCCACATCCAACCCACCCCGGCCATGCAGCGCGCGCCATTAGTCAAGGCCTCGCATCGTCGATGCTGTCTTCAAGTTCCAGCTTCCCATGAGAGGTGCATTTTACCGCAGATAGCAGCGAGGAAGAGGGGGCCCAACCCGCCCCGCGCCCTCGTGGACGCGTCGTGTCCAAGTACTCTTCGTGTACACTCCATCAAGTCTGGGAACTCCTGTTGGTGCGGAGCTGGGCAGCCGGGCGCGGAGGCATGTCGGTGAGGGGGAAGACACGGAGTAGGGAGCGTGGGGTTCGGGTCGCTGCGGGTGGGCTACGGAGACTCTGAAGTTTGGCCCTCCAACCACCGGTCCGCTGCTTGGTTCACCGTTCGAGGCTCTCACCACAGTTCCACATCACACCAGACACATGGTGGCCTTCGCACAGCTGCGGGTACCAACTCTGCACGTTCGAGGGGGAAATATGTTGGAGATTTGGAGGGGAGCGTCCAGTCGACCCATACAATCCCGGGGAGAGTTCATTTGCCCGCGCGGGGTGTTTCGTAGGTGAGCGATATTCTCCTCAACAAGAGGCCCTCACGACCGTCTGATCTGATCGCCGGGACAACCACTTCATGTGCATTCGACTATCAATGCTCCACGTCGGAGACAATCCGAGCCGACTACAACCACAGCTGGAATCACCAGGCAGTTGCAACCGAAGACTCTCAGTCACGCCAAGTTATCAATCAGCGTGGCCCGACCGCCCTCGGCCCGTTCGGAGACCGGCAAAACCAGCTTATCTCGTGACCATAAATGCCACTTCGAACGCCCTTGCCCACAAGAAACCTTCAACATCTCCGGAATGGCCTGAACAAGTAGAGGGGATCAGAACAAACCTCTGTTGTCGCCATTCACTCGATATCTAATTCCTTACTTTCCTCGCCGTGTCCACCCAATTCTCATCCTTCAGCACTCATTGAGATGATCCTAAGGTGCAGTCTTGAATCGCTAGACACAATTTTGAGCACCAATAGAAGTCAATAACTTCTATCAAGGTGGATTTTGCCCATAGTGACTTGAACGCCCCCAAATGCTTGTATGCGCGTACATGAACTCTCCTGACGCCTCTTCGATTGAAACCACATCATGACATTCCTCGGGCCAAGTAGCGCAGATTCTTAAATAAGTCGATTTTCCACCATTAGTGAGACCATAATGGCCGCTCATAAGCGGACTGTTCTTTTAATTTTGCCGCCTCAAGGCATTCAGTGTTCTCTCAACAACACCACCCTTTCAAGATCTTAGACCCGAGAAGAAAGCACCGGGTTCTCCTCATATTCATCCCTTTCCTCAAAGAAGCCAGCCATGCCTCTCTACAGTGTTCCGCTCGCCCGGGCAAAGATGTGGCTCCGTCGACGAAGAAGACAACCATGGTCGCCACGGACAAGCCTCTTGGACGAAGCCAGATGTTCAGTTATAGTCCTCCTCGGCGCATGCTTCCTCACCACAATTCTGGTCACCATAACCTTGATGAGAGCATCCTCGGAGTCCAAACAACCCATCGCCTGGATGGCGGAGCTTTCGATCGTCCTGATTATCACGCAAACTTGTTACGCAGCTGTCTTTAGCATTCACAAATGCATTCTTCCCCCGCCTGGTCGCATTAGTGGTCTGGTATACTTCTACTGGCTTACCTGGATCGGCTTGCAGGCTCTCAGCTTCTTCGCCGTGCGGCACGCCTTGCACGAAGATTGGTCGCAGACCAAGTACGTCGCTCTCGCCTGGTTGTTCATGAGCGCCGGGTCCGTCCTGATATGGACATACGTATTGGTCTGTTTAAGAGGAGAGAGACACCGACGGGGGAGGACGTTGCGACATGACACGGCTGGTCAGCTTCTGGTGATGCAGATGGAGACGAGAGAGCGAGCCATTGACATGGAAGCGGCCGTGAGCACGGTTCAAGCACCACCATCCGTTGTCGTGAGGGAGGTGAAGAACGAAGATTTGAGGCTGAGCTGATTCGGAAAGCATCGTGACCGGCTGGAATTTGGAAGCGATGAACAGGACGATCGATCCATCACGACATACATAATATGTGCCGAATTGGCTGCTTGGATTGAACAAAAAGTTTGTGTTTAAAGTTTGAGCACGCAAGAAATCTTGGTCCACGCTTGTCAAAGGGTGTTTCAGCGAATTGATATTTATACAATCAACCAAGAATCCCGAACATTGTGATACTCTTCCATCCTTCATTGTAGTAATCTGGATGGAGAGTAATGATGAGCAGTCTTGCACGTATCATATATTTTGTTTGAGATTTAATCTCAAGCTTCCATTCGAAAGGTAGAATATCTGCATGGTGGCAGCATCAACGGAAGTGTCAATGCAGCAAAATCTCTTACAGGAACTACGACTACTTCTCCAAAACTTCTTGACAATAGTCTTCTACAGTTCTTAACCTCCATAGAACTTCACATGGTTTTTTGAATTTGGAAACGAGATCCGTTGCTTGTAAATTGAGGTTGAATGTCTCTTTTGTCAACGCGTATGATGCACCTAATCTTAGTAGACGCACATCTCTGATTCCCTCTGTTGGATTCAAACACCACAACTTCTTCAGTGTCGCTGACGGATTTCTACTTCTTGAACTCCAGCTTTCTCGGCGAAGTCAACATCGCGCACGATTTTGACATCGCCAAAGATCTCATCGATTTCTTCCAGAGATTTTCCTATGAGTGAAGTGTAAGCTACTGTCCGTGTACGGTGGGTCACAATGTTTATACCTCTGGTCTCGGGATAGAAGAATGCAAAGATGATAGCGCAGAGAGCGTTGGTGAGGATGAAAAGTATCTGAGCCTTCAAGTCAGAACATACTCGTCAAAATATGATTTGAACATAATCAACGTACGTAGTACTTCCAGCCAACCGCGGCCAGAGCAATTGGCGAACACTGCGTAATGATTAGACTAATGGAATAGTGAATGACCTGGACTATGGCGTTCGCTTTGGCTCGGAGCTCCGTGGTGAAAACTTCAGGTCTATATTCCCGTCAAAACTGCAGTTCATATACTGACACTCGGAATGATACTCACGGAATAATCCATGTCATGGGTCCCAGGAGGGCAGAATAGTTGGCCGAAACAGCGAAAATACACGCAATGAGACCGCGCTGGGCCGCCTCGTTGGTTGGAAATCCGGGTCTTGCAGGGTAAACTGCTGCTAAAATGGTGATGATCAAGTAACAAAGCGACAACAGAGACGAGCTAATGATAAGAATCTTCTTTCGACCGATGCGATCAACGAAGAACAGCGAGATTAAGCATGCCACGGGTGCAACAGAACCATAGAGACCACTGACGAGAAGCTGTTGATCCTGGCTGAACTGCAGCGTAGCATAGATGGCCGTTTGGTAATACTGCACAAACGAAATGCCAGAAAGCATCGCAGCAGCCCACACAAAAGAACCGACAAAGAGGCGTTTGCGGAACGCTGGTGTCTTGAATAGGTCGCCCCAGGATAGCCGACCCTGAGCCTGTAACTCTTCTGCGATGTTGACCTGGATGATGGTAAACTCATTGCGGCACCAGTCGTCGTTGGTCCCGTCATAGTGGTAGTTGCGGAAAGCTTTTTCAGCTTCCTCGTGCCGACCCTTTAGGCAGAGCCATCTGGGCGACTCACCGAGGAAGAGAACGCTAATGCCCAGGATCAGGGCAGGGATGCTCTGAATGGCGAAACCAAGCCTCCATTGGTTAGGATTTTGCCATTTGCCTTCTCCAACGCCAGTCCAGAGAGCGACAAAGAAGCCCCAGGCAACCACTTTACCTCGTTAGTGTGCGTGAACTGTGACAATCGTTTCAACTTACTCATCTGGTTGACAGCTGTGATCCTGGCTCTCTCGTGGGTCTGGAAAATATTAGCTTCAAGCAATTTTCGTAAGTCGATCGGACAGTGAAGCATCCGACCTTTGCAATTTCCGCTCCAAAGACTGGAGCTACGCCAGTGATTGTACCAACTGCAAAACCGACTAGCAGTCGGCCCATGATGACTGGTTCTCATATTTAGCACTTCACCTTACAATTCTCGGGTCTCAACTTCACCTACGCATAGCGACATGGGCAGCACCCGCCATCAGAGCACCGCCAATGACTCCCCATATGCAGCCAAAGGCGATGGCTTTTCGGCGGCCTAATTTGTCGCTGGTAACACCAACAGATGCACTCCCTAGCCATGCTGGTAAAGTAAGTTAGACCAGTAGGTTTTGCTGTTCCCGGAGCAAATCATACCTCCAGCTTGATACACTGACACGATTGCACCTCGAAGGGGAGCATCCGGATTTCCGAAATACGCGAGGAATGACTTGAGTGCTAAGCTAGGTGTAATGATTCCTGAATCACTAGGATGTCGTGTGAGACTTTAGTTGAAAGGATACTCTTGTTGTGTAGAAAGACTCACTATCCATAAAGAAATCCTCCTATGCCAAGAAGGATCGACGTCAAGAATGGCTTGCTCAGCCAACTGGAACGTTCAGGTTCCATAGTAGAGATGTAAGGGATGCTTAAGTCTATATTTTGGTAAAAGTCTTGAACCCCAAAGTATCCTTAAGTTTTGTACAAGCAAGGCACATCTATCGTTTGGATCCGGACTTCCAGGGACTTCCTAGACTTTGTACCACCTCATTTTCCATGCGCTTCATCTCACTCGAACAACTGCCGCGGTGATGCTACCAAAGACCAGGGTATGGTTATCCGCCATCCAACCAAGGCGTTTGTAAGTTTGGAGTCAGCAAGAAGCATGCATGGGCCGCTTCGTTTCGGGGGTGGTTCCCCCACACGCATCTTGCTTCCCCCGCGTAACCCACGTGCAGCTTTAAACCCAGACTGCGGGGTTATCAAGGGGAAGTTTTCGTATCGTGACTTGATTTTCCTATGACTATCGAGCGGGAAGGATTGAAGAGACCCAGTTGTGGCTTGCTGAATCGTGTTCGCCAAGATCGGCAATTGTTGGAAGAGTCGAAATTGAAGCGCTAGCCGCTCGACTGACCATTGAAAGATTGAATTACCTCGGGTTTATTTGCCTTTCAGTACTCTTCCCCCCCTCCAAACTCATAGATATCCCCGGCTAAGTCTTTTGAGATTACCGAAGGAAGATTGGCGACTCAAAGTCTATGTATGCGTGTGTTGAAGTTGCAGACTTGCTATTCGGGTCTGCCCACCGTCAATCACTCCATCATGCTCTTCAATATTCTCGCCTACTTGGCGTTGATCGCTGGAGTTTCTTATCTAGCCCTCACATTTCCCAGGGTAAGAAATGTTAAGTCTGACACGCTTTACTGGAAACTATCCTGACTTCATCAACCTCGAATAGCTGCGGCAAGAGTGGAAGCTCTACTCACATCGATCACAGCTTCCCCCGGGTCCCAAGATCATCAAAACAGGGATCCGAAAGCCATGGCTTTGGTTCCAGGAATTGAGTAGGGAGTATGGCGACGTCGTCTACCTCCAGATGGGTCCGACGCCAACCATCGTTTTGGGCTCAGCCCAAGCGGCATGGGACCTCCTCGAAAAAAAGGGCTCAATCTTTTCGTCACGCCCGCGCTTCATCATGGGCGGCGAGCTCCTCTCTGGCGGCATGAGGGGCCTGATGGCCTCTTACTCCCCCTTCTGGCGGCGATGGCGAAAGCTCCTGCACAGCGGCTTCATGCAGCGGCAGAGCGAGACGTACCGGCCGGTGCAGAGTCTGGAGTCCAAGGTGCTTATGCATGAGCTTCTCATGAGTCCCGAAGACTTTCGAAGGCACCTTGAACGATATGCGGCATCTGTTATTGTGACGGTGACGTACGGCAGGAGGGTGGAGGACATTACCACCGATATCGTTGTCCAACGCAATGCTGAGTCAATGGGACGCCTGACATCGGTCAAGTAAGCGTCTTCTTCTTCCCCCTATTCTTCTCAAGTCTTCTATTTCTGACGATTCTTTTCGACATGTAGCATTCCAGGAAAGTTTGCCGTAGAGAGATATCCTGTTCTTAAGTACATCCCCAGCTTCTTGGCTCCTTGGAAGGCCGAGGTCTTAAAGCAGAGGCAAAAGGACATCCAGATGTACACTGAGCTCATGGACGAGGTCCGCGAAAAAGTCAGTAGAGGCGTTGCGCCTGAGTCCTTCGCTAGACACCTGCTCGAAGAGCAATCCAACCTGGGCATGTCAGATCTCGAAATAGCCTACACGGCAGGCTCACCATTCGGAGCTGGCGTCGAGACGGTAAGAGAAATTCCCCCTCCGTAGTCCGCGCTTATGCAAAAACCCGACGTGACTAACAAACCAATGCCTCAAGTCGGCCGGATCTCTAGCCAGCTTCATACTGGCTTGTGCCAAATTTGGCCCGCAGTTCATACCAAGAGCGCAAGAGGAGCTTGACAGAGTTGTCGGAGGCGACCGGCTGCCCATGTTTGATGATCTGAATAAGCTCGAGTATGTTCGTGCGATAGCTGCGGAGACGCTACGCTGGCGGCCTGTCGCCGTGCTCGGTGGCACTCCCCATGCGAGCACCGCGGATCATCTCTACAAGGGCATGTTCATCCCAAAGGGTAGCACCGTTATCGCACCTTTATGGAGCAGTATGTCAAGCCCCATATGCTCCTGATCCCGCTTAGTACTCTGACTGATGATTTCTAGTTCATCTTAACGAAGCAGACTTCCCAGAACCTCATGAGTTCAGGCCTGAGCGATTCTTGACTGAACGCGAATACCCTGGCACCTTCGGTCACAGTGCCTTTGGATGGGGCCGTCGGATCTGCCCCGGCATGCACCTTGGATCTGCGTCCGTAGCCTTGAATATTGCGAGGATCCTCTGGGGATTTGAAGTCAACCCTGAAACGGACGAAAAGGGCAGGGACGTCGAGGTGGACATGTAAGTGCCAATCCTACCCTTGAGCGCACACAGATCCGGAGCTGACTTGGTGGATGTACACGCAGCTTTGCATACTCGGATGGCTTCAATTCGAGTCCACTACCATTCCCTTGCTCAATTACGCCTAGGTCACTGAAGCATGCTCAGGTGATTGAGCAGGAGCACGGGGAAGCTTTGAAAGCGTTGAAAGAGTATGCCGTGATCGAGAGCAAGTTGTCTTGATCCGTTGAAAGCGCTCAACAGCTGTGTCACTGTAGTAGCATGTCCGAGATGAACACTAGGCTTCATGTCCACAAGTTTGCAATTTAACATTACTTCTATTTATCTTCCTCTCCGTCTACGCCACGGCAAAGTCCTCAAACACAAAAGGTAGTTTCCAATACCTCAAGTCATCAAACTCCACCTCAGAGATGTACTCTCGGGTGTTAATCGTCAGAGCCCAGTCAACATCAGGCCTACTCGACGCAAAGGTCCGCGCCCCAACCACCGTCCCGTCCCGCTCCGCAAACGGCGCCCGGCCGCCGGTGCCACTGACGGCGTGTGAGCCGATGAACCTCGCCACAGTGCCCGCACTCGCCGCAAGCGAGAACGCACCCGCGCACTCCTCCTTGATAGCTCCGTCGCCCCCATACGGGCCCGGTACGAGACGGTACGACTGTGGTTCCCGCGGATCGTAACCCGTGTACTTGCTCTCCTGAATGATGCGGTCCCCAGAGTGCTTCTCTGCTGCCGTCTCATACAGACGTACGTCTAGATCGCCGAGGATCTTGTCTCTCAAGAAATCGAGGTAGGGCGTTGCCGTGATGTTGCTGACGATGTAGCTCAAGAGCATGGTCCCGTAGTTGGAGTAGGCATAGTCCGTGCCGGGGGCGAAGTCGAGGGGGCGGGCGACCTGGTATTCGATGACGTCCCGTAGCGTCGCGGCACGGGTGCCGTTGAACAGGGTAATGGCGATCTCGCGAAACATGAAACTCGGGTCGCCGGAACGATCGCGATTGTACCCGGACGTGTGTGAGAGGAGGTGATCGATGGTGATGTCCTTTGCGCGGGCGTCCGCGGGCTCGTCGTATCCGAGTAATTGGTACGCGGCCGTGGAGTAGTTGAGCTTCCCGGCCTCGATGAGGTTGAAGATAGCCGCGTGGACAAAGATTTTGCTCACGCTTGCGAGGAGGAAGACGTCGCTCGTCTCGACGACGGGACGGTCGTTTTCCGCCCAGGTGTACCCGCGCTCGGCAATGGTTGAGCCGTTGGACGCAATGGCGAGTTGCGCCTGGCGTACACCGTTCTTCTTCATCCAGGTCTGCATTGCGGCATCAAAAGCCGTTGTGGCACCTGCGTTATCCTTGAATCCCTTGAAGGAGCCGGTGGCGGTCCATTTCCGGGCCTCGGGAACGTCTTTCTCAGCGAAAATGACGGCAAAGCGAACGTCCTGTCTGGAAGCACCCCCGTGAACGTCGATTGGGTGAAGGCCCTGCTGCTTCTGCAATTCAATCTGAGAGGACAGCTCTTCGGCCGTGAGATCGTTCAAAGCTACCCACTTCCCAACAGAGGTGTCCACGAACTGGGGGGTGACGACGTGGTCGTCTGAGAGAAAGAGGCGAGATGGTCTCCAGAAGCGCTTCGCTGTTTCTGACTCATAGATCTTCGGATAGTCGACAGTGTAGTTGCCGGATGAATAAAAGATAGTAGACATCTGATTTCCGACGTTCTCATGGCCCAGAACGCAGTAGCGGCGGTCTGAGGGGGTACCGTACATGCTGAAGCCCTTCACAACCATGTCGATACCATTCGTCGCGTTGTCAAACTCATAGGGGTTGTTGAGACCGCAAAGTTGTGTCCAGTTGGTGACGTTGGCCTTCTCCATGACCCCTGCGTAGATGGCGCTGCCAGCCGGTCCCGTGACAGAGATGTGTGTCGGTACATAGCCCTTGGACTTCCACGAGTCGAACCAGTCGTCATAAGTGGCCTCGTCTGCACCGTAGATTGTTTCGAAAGGATTTCCGTCCCGCCGAATCCAGACGGCGGCATACTGTGCGTCCGGCGCTGTGCCATAGTTGCTCAATGATATCATGCGGTAGCCATCGGCGATGAGAGTCTTGACCTTATCGCCATGCGCTGCGCCATCTAAGTTGAAGTAGGTCTGAAAGTCGGCAGAGGTGTCGTTGGCCTGGCGTCGTTCGGTTGGGACTGCATGGGCGACAGAGCAGAGTGAAAGGCACGAAGTCAAAAGGCCCAAGAACGAGTGAGGGTACATGTTGAACGATAGAAAGCTGCTCAAAGGCAAGCGAACAACGAATTCGTGCTTCGGTCTTTCGCGCAAGCGCTGTCAAGACATCCCCTCCAGACTGTGAACCGAGGGGACTTCATCACATCTTATTCATTGCCTATGAATATCCACATGATCCCTATTATTGGAGTGTCGCTTTTGTATACAATGATCCCCTGGGCCCCTGACGATACGAGATGAACCCCGTCCATGCTCCCCACAATGCCGCGCTCGGCAAACGGCGGACAGCCGACAGCCCCCCTTCACCCCCGGTCCGATCTCCCTGGAAGCCCGGTCCTTTCAGCCACATTGGGCAATCAGGCCATGGCAGGCTTCGAGAAAAGTTCTCCCGCGGTAGTATTGCCTGATGTTCCCCTGCTTTCCCCGTATTCCTTAACGGCATGCCCGATTCTTAAACCTATGTGAAGCACGAGTGCACTCAGTTTGGAATTTTTGACAGTGACGAACATGATGGCGTCTTCTTCTTTCAGTCTTTCAGCTTTCAAGTCTCTATCAAACAAAAATAGGGGATACGCGGTGCCAAGATAGAGTAATTTAGCCACAGAGGTTGGTGCATCCTAGCAATATGCCCCATATATCAAGTTAAACTCGACGTCGCCGTTTCAGCACCGCGTGCACATTATCTCTCTGTGACAGGCCTTAATCAAAAGTCATATGTATATAAACATAATTCACAGCAAACAACTCTTCTGTCCCAAACACAAGGGCTTACCAAGATTCGTTTTGTCCTTGGCTGCACTACTTGTCAATATCGGTACACGCAATCAAGAGCGACTGATGTTTCAAGCAAAACGTGCACCAAGATGTTGCAAGTCAATCCCAGCAAAAGTTCATGGCGACGTGTTCACGTTCGTAGGTCGAGCACCATGTGGCGCAACGGTAAAAATGAACGAAGGTCCATCCAGGATTCGAACCTGGGCTTACGGAAGTCTTTTGAAGCGAAGCTATCATCAGAATCCGACGTCCTAACCAACTAGACTAATAGACCAGTGAGAGCGAGCTGATACGCTCAGTGGATGTGGAAGCGGCGACTCAGAATTATGATTATGAAGTGCGGATTTCCTGTGGGAAGAGTGACTCTGAAAGCCCTCGTTGTGGATGCGGTGGGGATAAGAACGGCGGGGCTTGTCAATTAGTCTGGCGGGACTCTCGAATGTCGGCCGGAGGGGATATCCTGGTCACGAACCCCACGGTCTGATAGGGTCAAATACCGCGAGGATGAGGGTCTGATGTCTTGAGGAATTGGAAACTCAAGAAGGGGCATCAAATCTCGTTGTCTCATATGCTGTTAAGTAGAGTGACAACTTACGTAGCAATGTGTAGATGTAGTAGGAATGAACATCTAAGGATCGGATTAAGCCAAAAGGGAAGAGCTACAGAACTGGGGTAATATCAAACGGAGAGAAGGCAAAGACCACGCCAGAAAATAGATGCTAGACGCCCTCGTATGCGTTGACAATTTCGTCTGGACCGTGAGTAGACCTCGTGGCACGGTGGATGTATTTACAACTTCAGCTTAGAGATTGGCTCAACTCTAGGTTAACTCCTACCCCAAGCCATTTCTAAATCATATGTACTGCTTCAAAGTATAGACAATGGAACCCGCCACTCCTCCAAACAAAACCACCAAATCTCACCGAGACTCTCCGAATTCCACCACCAATAACCCCCCTCAACACCCACTCGTCTTAACATTCGTAGCAACACACAACTTCCCATCCGGCCCGCTCGAGACCAACTTGGGCTCCGCACCACTACTATTCCCCTCAAAGTTCTCGCACACCTGCGCGCCGCCCAGCACGCACGAGTCCCTCACAATCGTCCCATCCCCCAAGTTCCCATTGACACCGCTGAGCACTTTCCCGCCGTCGAGCCGGATATTGTCAAAGGTCGAGTGCCGCGCCACCTGCGTCTTGCAGTTTCCGCAGCTGCGGTACATTTTGCTGCAGTTCTTGCAAAAGTAGTTCTTCACGGCGACGGTCCCGCCGCCGTCGTGCTGGAGGACCTTGTCGGCCGCGTCTTGGGCGCCGCCGCCGTTGACGTAGGATGTGCCCGAGGTTTGGCGGAACGTGATGGCGTCTTCGCAGACTTTTTGGAACCAGCTGTCGTAGAAAATTTCAGTGGCTGAACTTGAGGAAAGAACATCTAGTTCAAAGGGGGCGGGCAGTGAGGCCTTGACTTACACATTGTTGATGGTACAACTCCCCAAACAATGAATCCCCTCACCATTATTAGGCCCAATAATCACATTGCTAATCGTAGCCCCTTCCTCGAGAATAAACACCGCGTCCTTGTTCCCGCCCTCAGTCTGGCCCTTGCAGGTACTCGGACTCCGATCCCACATCACCATCCCGCCGTCAAACGACTGGCCCGCAGCAATGGTCTTGACGGTAGCAATATTCTGCGACCCCTTGGCCGTTGGGAACGTCGTCTGCAGCTCCGTGTTGGCGCCGCCGGAGGTCGTTCCGTTGCCTGCTGCGGAACCACCACCGCCGCCACTGGCTGCGGATCCGGATCCGGAACCTGGCGCCGGAGTGCCCTTTGGCGCATGAGCCGGGACGCTAGAGTGCGCTTTCGAGCCCTTGGAGGAACCACCGCTCCCCTTGTGCGACGTCTTGGAACCGCTCTTTGAGCTGGTGGTGGGCGAGGCTAGGCCGAGGGTAGAGAGGCAGAGGGCCAAGACAAGGAGGTTGTTTCGGATGTACATTGTATGGGCTAGCTCGTAAAGTGGGCTGTGCCCTTTGAGATGAGATGGTCGTGATGAGGGGGAAAGTGGATGATAGCGTCTTGGCTATGACAATAAAACGGTTGGGATGAACTTGATGAAGAGTCTTGGCTCTACTATATGGGATATTCTTGGTATGTTGATAGAACCAGCTGTCATATGAGACGACCCAGTCGTTCAAGCAAAAAGATATAAAACGAAACGAAAAAGAGTTCTTTGTGATCTTATTGGGGAAAGCTCTTGGAAGCTGTTGCTGATGAACCAAATTCAAAAGCCCAAAGGACGGGCGAACTCTATCATCTTTATATCCAAAAAGTACTATATGTTTCTTGTCTTTCAACTACCCATTCTCAATGCCAATGAATCCCTATCCTCCCGAGTCTCTCACTCAGAGTTCAATCAACACACATCTTTGGGTTGGGCGCCCGACTGTCCCGTGAACCCGAACCCGCGCGCAACGATCACAATGCGCTTCAATCCCCCAAGGAAGCACGTTCCTTGCAAGGATAGAAAATCTATCCAAGAACGTTGGCGCGCTTCACGTAAGGTACACGACCCCAGTCGTCTGAAACCCGTGCGCATTAAGCTTTCTTCTGACAAGTCAGATAGAAGAAGTAAGGACCCAGTCTAGGACTCTAGAGCAGATGTACAAGCCTGTGAGAGAGAGACCTTCTATTCTTCAAGGTGCCGTTCCAGAGGAACGGGATGAAAGTCGTGGGCAATCAACTCAAAAAAAGCTTATACCAAACCCACCAATCAGTCTCGGCCCCTATGAGTCCCAACACCATGGCACAAAGTCCCGGCAGTAGTCCCCAATCTAAACGACGTCTGATCTTCTTAATGCAAGACTCCTATCCCACACGGACCTCCATCGCGTCCGAGACTACCCATCTAGCCCAGGGATACACCCCCAAGAAAAGCAGCTCAAGACAACTCATTCACCAGCCATGCCTGGATTCCTGCTGTCAACTCAGCTGAGTAAGGCAGCCTCGGACTCCGGGACTCGTGGGATGTAATAAATACTATGTCCCGTCATCTACCTCGAAAAGAGGAAGAGGGACGTGCAGCAACTCTGAAGCACAACCATAATATTCTTCAAACTACCTCTGGTGGGCTCACATCCCACCTCTCTCTATCCTATGCATGATCCTTCCCATAGCTCGGCATAGGTATCCGAATTTTTTGCGTTCGCTTCTTGTTAACCTCATGAGAAGAAGACTATGTGGCGGTGCCACACATGCCATGCGTTCCTCTTGACACCTCCCATTAACAGTCTTCTCGCCAGTCCGTGCCTCCCTTACATCATGCCTCCTTGCCCATCATCATGCTTAGAAGGACTACGGGCATGAATCTGCTGATCACCATGCCGAACGCCTCGGAACATGACATCGCGTGGTTCGAAAGGATTTCAGACTTGATTGTAAAAATTATTTACTTGAATCAACCACCCTCCCAGCGCCTTTATTATTCCGTTTCCCCATTCCCCATCCTTTCGGCTTGCCACTTTCCCCCAATCACGCCTCCTCTTCCAGTTATTCCGATGCCGTCCGCGGAATCTCTAAAGATCACCTCCTTTGTTGATATGACCCTTGCTGATACCCGCTCTGCTGTTGAGGCCGTTGTTGCTGATGCTGCTGTTGCTGTGACTGCTCCCTCCGAATCTGCCTCTCAAACCTCTTCCCTTCCGTCTTCGCATCCTTCTCCCCGTTGAGGCCAACCCTCTTCAGCTCCTCTTTCACCATCCCCACAGCTTCGGCCACTACATCGTCGCCCCTTCGCCAGGTATACAGCGCCACACCGTGCGACTCCAAAATCTCCTGGGCTCGCTGCAGCCGACGCATCCACAGCTCGTGCTTCCTATTTGGTGCTGCTGCCGTCGGCCCCAGGTTTGGACTGCCGTACGTCGGAGATGTGGATCCGGACCTAAGACTGGCCGTCTGCGCCCTCACAAATGGCGGCGGCTGAACCTGCTGTGGCCGGGAACCCGCAGAGGGCGGTGGCAGCGCTTCGAAGTCGACGTCTCCGTTAGCCGATAGTCTCCGCCGGCTGTCGAGGCTCCGAGGGCTCAGACTACGGGAGCTGGAGGCGGTCCCCACACGCCGAGGCGGTGGAGGCGCCGGTGCAACTTTGCTCGTCTTACTCGTGTCGTTTTGTGACGTAGAGGCTGGTATCTTGGCCGTGCTCGGTAGGCTCCTGTTACTTCCGATTGTCTGCTGCGATGAATTGTGCATTTGCGATAGAGGATGAGGATTGCTCCGGTCCGTAGACGGCTTGCGACCGCTCGGCATCGGGGGAGGCGTAGCACCCATGCTGTTGACCTTGATTGTGGGCACATTGGTATCAGACGGAGCGCCGCGCAGCGCAGCAGGCTTGTTAGGTCGTGGTGGAGGGGGCTTTCGGCTAATGGCGGTATCGGTGGTGCTTGAATGCGGCTTCGGTCTGGCCTGGATCTGGGCCAGGGCAGCGGCGTCGTTCAGCGTGGTCTCTTCAGGTTCGTCGGAAAAGTCGATCAGATCGCCCATGACAGGCCCAACCGTCTTTGCCTCGCCGCGTGGAGGAAGCCCCGGACGATTTGTTGGAGCATCACTGTGGTCCGTGGCCTTTGATATTGAGCCCCTCTGACGTGCGCTGCTGCTCTCGAAAGATGTATCAAAGTACCCGGCTTGCTCCGGCGTTGTGACATCGCGGATAAAGATGGCGATGATGCGTCCTGGGTGGGCTTCCACAAGCTCTGTGTAGACTTCCAGATCTGCCTCTCCGCTGTCACCAACTAGGAGAAACCTGCGTTCGGGGAAGTCGTGCATGAGCCTGGTAAGGGTACTCTTCTTCCTTTCCGCAACTGGCTCAAAGATGCCCTGAAGCATGCCACTGTATTGCTTCAGATGAAGCGATCCAGGCGGCAAGCCGGCTATCATGAAGTAACTGGCCAGCACCGGGAACAGTTGCCAGGGGCTGTTCGAACAGTAGTGCATGCTGACCCCCATTGAGTGTAACTCGTTGTACCATTCCCGAACACCTTCCACCGTCAAGTCCTTGAGCTCGCGGACAAAGGTATTGCGGAAGATCTCCTTTGCGCCACCCGAAATGTTGGAGCGCTTAATCGTGTCGTCAATGTCACTGATCAAGCTGACACCCTTCGGTTCGATGATCTTGACTTCCTGGGTCGCCGACAAGTCCTCGTTAGCGAGGACGCGGATGTGCGTAGGGACAAATTCCAAAGCGGCGCGGAGGATGAAGTGGCCCGCGTCGTTAGTCTGCACAGTCCGTGACGCCGATTTCTCGTCGTTGTAGAAGAAGACAGTGATGGGCAGCTGGACTAGAGGTGTAGTCATGAACGGCGCTATCCTAGCCATGAGGTTGGCATTCGCAACAGACAGCTCGGCATCTGTCAAATCATTGCCCGTAGTGTTTGTCCTAGTCGGTGCCAATTTGGGAGACCCGGGAGCTGTCATCGGCGTGTGCGTGCCGCTTCGTGACCTGGATCTCGCTCGGTATATGCTATTCGCATCGTCGTCGGATCCTTCCTTTGGCGCTTCGCTAAAACCACCTTGATACGCCACACGCCGTTCTTCTTGGCCTCTCTTCTCGATTTCTGCTGCTTCTTTCGCAATCTTTTCCTGCTCTCGCCGTTCCTCGTGTGATTGATGTAACGCAGAGAGGTTATCGGGCGCAGGCGCATCCTGTCTGGGGGCTGGGATGCCGCTGAGCTGGCGTGCGAGGCCGATGAGAATGCGGTTGCGCCGAGTGATTGGCCCTTTATGAGGAGAGTACACCCATCCCCTCACGTCGATATCTACGATGGCTTTCTCGTCTTCATTACGCTCCCACTCTTTCCTCCAAAACTCTTGGTCCCTAGCGCTGCCAGGCTCTTCTTCGGCGTGCTGCTGATATGCCGCCGTCCAATCTTGCTTGACATGCCGCTTTGCGTACGATGGGAAGATGACCATCTGGTCGTCTCCCTGAACAGTGATGGCGACGTCAGGGAACGATCCCGGAATCGTGGTCCTCGGCATACCCTCACCCGGCTCCAAAGGCCTTGCCCGCGTCTGCGCATAGCCTTCCCTGATCTCGTTGACTCCTACCGCAGCGGCCCGGTACATGCTCCCTGCCTTCGCAGCCAGCCACTTCCGCCGAAACCCTCTCTCGCCTGGGGTGGGCGGATCCTCTGCCGAGCCATATCCATAGCCATTACTGGCGCCTCCTGCGCCTCCGCCCCCGCCTCCGCCGTAGGTCGTCGTGTAGTCTGAGAAGGTGGGCATCGTCTTGCTTATAGTGCCTCCTCGATCCCTCGCATGCCGCTTCGGCCTGACCGAGGGCGGACCTAGGAGCAGCCGGCGACTGTGCCGCGCAAAGACGTCGACGAGTCTCGACTTCTCGTTTCGCTTGCGCTGACGTTCAAGGATGTATCGGTAAATGCTAGACTGGAATCGGTGTTTAAGCTGCGGAAGGGTATCAAGACGAAAGTTGAGAACGCGCTCGCGGTATCGGTCTCGTACGCTTCGTGGGAAAAGATATCGGAGGAGACTCGTGCGGTGATGAGGATGCGGACGCGGCGGACCAAATCGCCCGAAAGGAGCCAGCTTGTTCGTAGTTTGTGCCTTGGACAAGAGGTCCAAAGACAATAGCAGGAGTACGTGGAACCGACCCTAGGTTTTGGAGTATTATGGAAGGATGAAAGCTCGAGCTAGGCAAGAGGTTTGACCAAGGTCGTTGGAGAAGCCGAGGCGAATGAGCTAAGGCGATGAGTGCACGATGTTACGAGGCTGGCAGCCGACAGCGTCTTCTGACCCCCACGCTCTACAGCTGATGAAGGGACGGCAGAGAGTGATGGAAGCACATGATCTCGGGCGGCTCTGGATGGTTTTGGAACTTGGTGCGAACTGGTTCGTGGTGGAGAGGAGCGGGAGCACGCGGCGAGGTAAGGGAAGAAGTTGAGCTCGTGACGTTGCGGGAGGGCGAGGTCTCAGAAACTCGAGCTAAGTTGCGTTAAGGTAGGCGTAGGTGCCGCGGTGCCGTGCAGATTTGGCTGGGGCTCGAGGGGCAGATGCGACAAAGTGTTAGAAAGCGATTTATGCGGAAATAAGCAAGGTGCAAGCAAGGAAGCAAGCTCTCTCCTCTGAGCTAAGGCATCCCACATGCATCTCCAGGGCTCCAGCGGCCAGCCAGCCAGCCAGCCAGCTCTAGCCTTCCAAGGCTCCTCTTCTGTCGCCGAGCTGACGGCAGCTGAGGGCCCGGGGGACGTGCTCCGGAGCGAGACGGGCATTACGTCATCCGCACCTCAAGCTGCAGACATCTGGGCCGCTCGGTGTAAGGTATTTTCGGCTAGCTGACAAGCTGTTAGCACATACTTAACACAGCTTAAGCCTTGTAGTGATGGCAGGTGCATCTTTGATGATCGGCCGGGGATGACATGGGATAATTGCAACGTCGCTTGGCCCCCAAAAGCAAGAAGCACAGACTGTTTACTCCATGGTTCATCTGCAGTCCGGAGTACCTAAGTGGTGGCTTGCTACTTCATCCTACATGTTCATGTAGTTGTATGTAGAAGCAGAAGGTACTCACACCTTACTAGCCCCCTTTAATTCAGCAAATGAGTGGCAATGGACCATAGCGAAGAAATGAAATGGTATTGTAACATGGTATTGTAGTCTAGACTTTTGGACACCGTAGAGCACCTCAAAATCACCGCTTCTGGCGCGCCAGCTTCGCCCTGGTCCTCCCCTTGGCCGGCACATTCTTCTTCTTGGGCTGCTTCTTCAGGTTCAGCACCGCGCCCTTGCCGTCACGCTCCGCCCGGCCCTTCTTCCACACCTTGTCCTCGCTCCTCATCTCCTTGGCGTCGAGCTTCTTCTTGTCCTTGTTGCTCAGCTTCGGCTTCTTGCCGTTCTTCGGTCCGTTAAGCTCCTCCCGCCCCGCAATCTTGGCCTTCTTCTTGTCCTCCTCCGTCTCGAACCACGTCCGCTTCGGCCGCGCCTTGATCTCGGCCTCGTGCTGCATGATATTCTCGCCTTTCTTGAGCTGCATCTCGGCCTGCTGGAACTGCTTCTCCTGTTTCTCTTCGACCATGATCTCCTCGATTTCGTCCTCCATCTCGTCCACCTGGTCCTGCCACTTGTCCGCCTCCGTTGGCTCGATGACGCGGCTCATGATCTTGGCGCCGTTGGCCTTGCCGGCCTTGACCGCCGCCTTGACGACCTTGCGGTCCGGCTCTGCCGCCAGCGTGATGGCCACACCGGTGCGACCGGCACGAGCTGTACGACCGACTCTGTGCACGTAAATCTCAATGTTTTGGGGTGCTTCGTAGTTGATGACGGTGTCGACGCCCTTGATATCGAGACCACGAGACGCAAGATCCGTCGCCAAAAGGTAGTTGACCTTTCCGTCGCGGAAGTTTTCAACACTGGCAATTCTCTGTAAACTTGGTCAGCAGTTGTATTCAATCAAGAAGAAATTGTAAGAACTCACCTGAGCTTGGTTCATGCTACCGTGTAGCTCTGCGCAAGACAAGCCAAACAGTCCAAAGATGATTCTTGCTCGGTGAGCGTCCTTCTTTTGGCGGAAGAAGATGATGACACGCTCGGTGTGCATTGTCTTGCAGATGTGCACGAGGTAGCCCATGCGCTTCTCCTCGCGACCGGGCCTCAGGCGTACAAACTCTTGCACCAAGGTAGTGACGGTCTTGTTCTTTTGTGAGTCCACCATGACTCTGGCGGGCTTGTTCATGCCCACTCGCACCAGCCTGTCGACGGAAGATGTCATGGTGGCGGAGAACAGCATCGTCTGTCTTGACTTGGGCAGGGTCGTCAAGATCTCGTTCAACTCATCGGCGAAACCATCCTCAAGCATGCGATCGGCTTCGTCGAGCACGAGAATCTCCACGGTATCGACGTTGAAGCTGGCAGAGTTTCTCATGTGGTCAATGAAACGACCGGGCGTGGCGATGATAACGTCTGGCCTCAGTCTCAGCTCGACCTCCTGAGCCTTGAGACTCAGACCACCAACAGCGAGAGTGAACTTGATATCGGTGTAAGCGGCCAGCTTGGTGGCGACAGCGTGACACTGGATAGCCAGTTCACGGGTAGGAGTGAGGATGACGACACGGCTCGTCGGCACCTTCTTGGGCCTGTACAGGAGACGCTCGAGAATGGGGACCACAAAGGCGGCCGTCTTTCCTGAACCAGTTACCGCACCACCGACAACGTCCTTGCCCATCAAGGCAATGGGCACAGTCTTGGCTTGAATGGGCGTAGGCTTGGAGAAGCCGACAGCAGCCAGACCTCTCAGAAGAGGACGTGAAAGAGACATGGCCTGGAATGATGATGCCGTATCCTTCTTGCCGGGCTTTGCAGGCTCCTCGGGGGCGAAGAAAGCGTCACGCTTCGCTTGTTCTTCTGCGTCTTCCTCCTCTTCATCATCAGATCCACGGTCGTCGGGATGATCCACGGGTGTCGCAACGGAATCGTTGTCGGATGCTCCATCGTCGTCGTCTTCTGCATCATCTGCGTCCTCTGCGTCAGAGTCTTCTTTTTCGGCATCAGAATCTTCGGCACCAGGATCCACGCCCATGCCAAAGGCATCGTCGGCCAGAACTCCATCCTCGTCGTCGTCGAGGTCGATATCTACGTCCATGTCGTTATCCACCTCGGCGTCTGCCGCAACCTCCTCTTTGTCCTCCTTCGGCTTGTCCTCGCCACCCTTCTTTGCCCGTCTTCTGCGAATGATTTCGTCCAGGTCAACACCCGCTGCAGCATTGCTGTTCATGGACTTCTTTGCGCCTTCGAAGCCCCAACCCTCGAGTTCTGCGTCGCCGAATTCGATGGCATTGTCTTGCGCAAATTCAAAATCCGAATCCATAGCACCATCGTCTTCGTCTTTCTGGCCCCAGATACCCTCGGCGACTTCGTTCTCTGGCGACTCTTCTCTGGCGGCCTTTTTCGACTTCTTGGTGGCCTTCACCTTCTTTTTGGGCGGCGGTGCCACGGTCTCCTCCTCGACAATTTCCTCGTCATTGTCGGAGATTGTGTGAACGAAGTCGTCGTCAATCTGCTTGCGCTTGTGAGAAGGCGCCATGTTGAGTGGTGGAATGGTGGTTGAGAAAGACAGTTGTCGGGACCGCGGGGTATCGTCAAGCTTTCACACACACGCCTGTTCTCACACTCCAGCAGTTCCCAGAGCCAGAAATTTTTCTGGACGGACGGTGGAGCTAAACTTTTTCTGCCGTCTTCAGAGACCATCCCCCTGTCATGGGCGGTCAGAAGCGAGACTATTGGGATAGAGTGGGCCTTGGATCGTTCGTTCATCAGAAGGAAGAAACAAAAGAAAAAGATACGTACTGATCTGGACTGGGACTTATGCACGTGATGGTGTTTGTCATCAGATTTTAGGGGCAGGGGCAACTCCCGATAGACCCCACCATGGTTGATTGGGCGACCATTTTATTGGCAACAATTTTGGCAGCCTTCACGCCGGGCGCCGACAAAGCAACGAGATTTAATTTCTGCCCTGTTGCTCTACAACTTGTCATTTTTGGTCCTAACCAATCTCGGCACCTTACTACTTTCCACACGTCTCCTTCTCGACTTCTTCGACCACCAGCACCCACTACTACCAACCGCGTCTCTGCTTCTCTCGAGCGTCCTTGCGAATTTCCTTTTGACATCCATCCCGAGCGCGTTTTCCCGATTGTCAACACAGTTCCGGCCGCAGAGGCAAACACACACATACAAAATGGGCGAATCCAGGTGGGCAAAGCTTCCATCCCCTTCCATCGCGGTGCTACATCCGGCAGCATCTTGGACGTTTGCGCCTCGCAACTGTTGGCTGACACGGCATGGATTTCCAGACAAGAACTCATCCAGTGGCTGAACCAGCTTCTCTCTCTCAACATCACAAAGGTCGAGCAATGCGGTACCGGGTACGTTGCTGATCGGATACCCCTCCCCCGCCATGTGTTTATTGTGGGACCCAATGATGATTTTGATGATGGTGGTTGCTAATGTTTCGTTTCAATCTGCAGTGCAGCTCTCTGCCAGGTGTTTGACAGCATCTTCATGGATATCCCCATGTCTAGAGTCAAGTTCAACGTCAACAGCGAATATGCATACATTCAGAACTTCAAGGTGCTGCAGAGTAAGTTTGCGCCTTCCCACGCCGTCTCGCCTCTGCGTCCACCTCCATTCCATCATACACGGAAACGAATAGTCATGGCTGACAAGACACTTCCTGAACAGACTGCTTCCACAAGCACCAGGTCGACAAGCCCATCCCCGTCGAAGCGTTGGTCAAGTGCAAGATGCAGGACAACCTCGAGTTCCTGCAATGGACCAAGAAGTTCTGGGACCTGAACTTCCCCGATCAGGAGTACGACGCCGTCTCCCGGCGAAAGGGCGCCCCCGTGCCCTCTGGCGGTGGCCCTGCTCCTCGTGCCGCGTCCGGTACCGGTGCGGCTGCCGCCAGACGGGGCGGTACCACACCCCTCGGCGGTGCACGTGTTCCCAAGGCGGCAGGCCCCGGCACAGCTGCCCTGCAGCAAGAGAACGCCACTCTCAAGGAGACGGTCGTCGGCCTCGAGCGCGAGCGTGACTTCTACTTCAGCAAGCTCCGCGATATCGAGCTCCTGGTGCAGCAGGCCGTGGAGGAGGACCCTGAGCTTGAGAAGCAGGAGGACGGCCTCGTCAAGCAGATCCAGACTATCCTGTACTCGACGGAGGAGGGATTCGAGATCCCGGCTGAGGGCGAGGCTGTCGACGACCAGGAGACCTTCTAAATCGGGAGGCTTTGAGGTAGGGCGACGATGACACAGATGGAAGAGAGGCTGTATTGTTGGATGGGAGGTTGTGTTCAGGGGATTTGGGAGGTAAAAGCACATGGGTTTGGCGCTAGTACAAATACCCTACGGCACGTAATAATCAGTATACTGGCGATGAGGCTGAGCGGCCCTCGGACTGTCGAGACAGGAGTCGGTCAGAGCTTGCGGCAGTCCCGTCCCACATGAGCAGCCATGATAGAATCAGAACGTTTTGTCTGAGAACCTCGAGTCAGTTTTCGTGGGTGACACGAAGAGAGTATGAGGGCTTGAGCCAAGCGTCCAAGACCACATTCCACTATGGCTATCCGGTTCCTTTTGGCGTGCTTCCGATCTTACGTTTGGTACTGCAGGATCTGGTTCTTATCATAGAAGGGTAAGCCTCGACTTCACACCCATCACAGAGTGGAAGTCGAGTCTGTAGTCTGAGAGCTGTGTGAGACTGTTCACTGCAGATGACTTGGCAGAAGCGTCATGTTATGCTCGAGTAGTTTATGCCGGCACGCTTTGCATATTGACTCTTAAGTACTTACTTCCAAACTTGGATTTCTACAAAAGTACATTGATCGATTACCAAGAGACGTTTCCATCAATATATGACACTACCGTACGAGTCACTACAATAGTATCGATAATCATTTATGTTGATCGACCAGATGTTGATTAGATCGGACTTGGGTTTCACTGTCATCAGCGCCCAGTTCCTGGCCTGATTGACCAGGTGCCTGAGAAAGCGAGGTGCCCAGCTGAGCATGTCCCAGAAATGCGGTCATTCCTGCTGCGGGCCCAATTTTAGTGGTTCCACGCAATGCGCCACAGGCGTCAGCTTTGGAGCAATTAGCGGCACACGACCGTCGACTTACCCGACTCTTCCAGTGCCAAAAGTGCTACCTAGGCCCAAGCAGGCTGCCGTGTTAGGGAAGCTGGGGTTGACAGGGGACCTCGAAGTAGCAATCCAGGCCCATGCTGAGGCACCGCACAAGCGTACCGGGACAGCAAGGTACCTTGGTTCCAGTACATTGACTGGAAACCTGAGGTGACCGCTCTCTCTTTCTCACTCCCGTCTCCTTCCCTCCAGACGACTGAACGAAAGGAGAGACAAGAACCTCAGACATTGCCCCGAAACCTTTTTTTTGAACCTGACGCAAACAACTGACCAAGGCCATCATTCCGACCACCAAACACGGAAAGATACTTGACCAGTACGACGGCTGTCTTTTGTTGTTTTGCGAGCCATCCCATTTCCTCAACGTTATCTAACCAACGACCGACGACCTCCAGAGGAGCGACAAGAACAACAGAGCATCGATTCTCTCCATCTCTACAACCTGCCATCGACGACTAGAGCTACGATACAGACCACCAGGCTCGTCCGAGCCTTCCTCCCGCCTCGTCCAAACCCGACAAACAATCCCATCCTCCGCTCATCGCCAATCTTCAAAAACAAAACTCTGTTTTCTACACAACTTCCCGCCTCGGACAAACCACAACAACACACACCCTTCACACACAATGGCGCCTCCCGCCGAAATCTCCATCCCCTCAACCATCCTCTCGACCGGTGAATCGAAACCCTACACCCTCTACAACATCACCCTCCGCCTGCCCCTCAAATCCTTCGTCGTTCAAAAGCGCTACTCCGACTTTGCAACCCTCCACCAGACCCTCACCTCCCTCGTCGGCGCCGCGCCCCCCAACCCCCTCCCAGGCAAGTCCTGGTTCAAGTCCACAGTCTCCTCCCCAGACCTCACAGAACAACGCCGAAAGGGTCTCGAATCCTACCTTCGCGCCATCGCAGAATCCCCCGACCGCCGCTGGCGCGACACATCGGCCTGGCGCACCTTTCTCAACCTCCCTAGCACGGGCGTCGGCAGCACGGGCAACTCGGCCGCCAGCGCCCACGGCCTCATCACCAGCGGTCGCGCGGGCGCCGCCGACCCGACGACCTGGCTCGATCTGCACCGCGAGATGAAGAGCTGCCTCCACGACGCGCGGAATCAGCTCGCGAGAAGGGACGGCGCCGTGGATAGCAATAACACCTCTGCTGCCGCCGAGGCCGGGGCCGCTGCCAAGAAGGCGCTGGTCAAGGCTAATACGCTGGTGAGCACCCTCGCGGACGGATTGAGGGCCATGCAGGAGGGCGGACGGCTCGGCGACGGCGAATTGCGGCGCAGGAGAGACCTGCTATCCTCCGCTCGCGTCGAAAGGGAAGGGCTCGACAAACTCAGCAACAGCATGGCGCAGGGAAGCAGCAGAAACGGTGGCGGCGGACCCGGCGGACGGGAAGGGTGGGCCTCGGCGGGCGACAAGGCTGCATTACTCGGCAGAAGCGGCGGCGGCGGTGGGGCGAGGACGGGCGGACGGGTCCTGGGGGCCCCGCTGCCGGAGACGGAGCGGACGCGGGAGCTGGACAACAACGGGGTCGTGCAGCTGCAGCGGCAGATGATGAGCGAGCAGGATGAGCAGGTGAATACCCTGGCGGCGATTGTGCGGCGGCAAAAAGAGATTGGGCTGCAGATCAACGAGGAGGTGACGGAGCAGACCAAGATGCTGGACCGGCTGAACGAGGACGCCGATCGGGTCGGGGGCAAGATTGATGTCGCCAAGAAGCGTATCAAGAAGTTTTGACGCGGGTCGCTGTCAGAGGAAGAGGTTGAGGAAGTAGGGACGGTGATTGTGACGGGTACGGTGCCTCGGCCTACAGCAGCACCGCCGTTGGTTGTCGCGGGCGGTCTCGCTGCTCGGTCCGTGGTTGCTGTCCTCGGTGTCGTGGTGTGGTTTCTTTGGGTCGGCGGGCGGGTGTTGGATTCTTTTGCGTGGTGCCTGGAGTTTGGGTCCGTCTTGTTGGTCGCGCGGGCTCGTCGATGAAATTCACCTAACCATACCCTTCGTTCGGTGTGAGGGGATGGTTTTTCTTGCCTTGACAGTACAACGACGTTTTACGTACGCGAGTACGAAGGGGGCTTCTTTTTTTTTTTCTCGACAACTTTACATACTTTGCAACAATAGCGATTTCAACTCATTTTCTTCTCTGATCATTTCTCCGAGTTTTGGTCTCTTTTGTTTGTTTTTTCCGAGTTGAGATTGGAAATACCAGTGTGTCTTACCTCATGGCAGTTGTAGCTTGGGAGTTTTAAGTTCTATCCAGATTGATGATTTACTCATTCATAACTACATTGTCCACACATGCAGATCAGAACATGGTTTTCTGCCGGAGCAAAGCGTAGATCATGCTGGCATTGGTGTTGCCATATACCCATGTACAGCAGTAGAATGGCCAACTCACTGGGCCTTACCGTTGAATTCCTACAGCGGTGTTCCAAATACGTACTCACCACCAGTGTGAGGTGACCGACGAGGCTGTGTGGCCCAGGGTGTATCATTATTTACAAAGCCAAGAGACTGGAATCTTGCGCCTGATCGAGTCTTTTTGAGGCGAATTCTTTACTCGTGCAAAGTCCCCCTGACAAGGTAGACAAGATTGAGCTCAACGCACTCGTTCTGAGGCCGTAGGCCAATTATGTAACGCCTTTTCCTCCAGGCTCAATGGATCTTCTATCAAATTCTGGCGCTAGAAGGAGGCCGTCCATGTTGCATTGGTGAGCATAAACATATTGATGTGAAAGAGCTCGGCCAACAGGTTGTAAGAGGGGGGCTCTTGGCCATAGTTGATACCCTCACGCTTGCACGTAGAATCCCGATTATGCCAAGACAACATGATGTACCAGAGGCTGCCTCGGATGCTGACCTATATCGCCAGCCTTACTGCAGCAGCCATGTTATCCCAAGACAATCAGCTCTAGGAAATCTCGGGAGTCGGGAGATGCAGTAGGGGACGCGACGGTGCTGTGTTTCTCTCGCGCCGGACCGTTCCTCATGCACATGCAGACGGCGGTTGCTTACGGACGGGGACCCCCTGCCGTTATCGAGTGGCGGGTTGGTTGCATGCAGTTGCCGTCACATCGCCCTGATTTCTCCCTTAATCGCCTCGTCGCGGGAAAAGAAATGTGAAGCACGTGGTCATTGGGCGAAGACTGGAGACTAGGGAGGGCCGATATAATTTTGGTGTATGCATGCGCAAAGTGAAGCCATCGTCAGTTTGGCTGTTTTTTTCGTCTCTCGACTCAACCTTTGGCTGCCTGGATGTTGTGTCGAAGTATCTGTATCCGTAAAGTCAGCGGTTGCCGGCCGGCAGAAAGACGTTTAGTGTGGCACGGTGGCACGTTGTGGCCACGCCCACTTGGTGACATTTGGTACGTCACCCGAGCGCCGGGATGGGGCACACCGTACACCCGACGGTGCAAGGGACTTCCCGCGGTTGCTGGGCAACGACTGCGAGGAACCGTTTCCAAGAGGGGGAAAGTTTAAAAAAGGTGTGAAAGAAAAAAACGACAAAGAGGGAGAAGAGTCGAGACAGAAGCACCACCCTGCTCCACCACAACGACCGTTGAGATGAGATGACGCCGCATTGTCACAATTGGCGCCCAACGGTGCCCTGCTTGCCCAGCCTGGCTCATTGCAATGTTGCAGTCGCAATCGCAGTGTTCGCCCGATCAGCCGTCGTATTCGAGCCCATCGAGTATTGAACCTAATCGACCCAAGGGAAACCCAGTGAGCTGGTCGCGAGAGCAAGATGATGAAAGTCGAAGTGATTGCGACGATACTCCCTCCGTACGGGACCGGCGGAGGTCGTGTGGACTCCGTCGACGGTGGCTCACCTCTTTTCCCCCTCCTGGTACTCTCCCGCACCGCCCTCCTACTGTGTATGTCCAAAGTGGATGTGCTGGCGCCGAGTGCCTGCCGCCTATTACCGGGGGAAATAGCCTCAAGACCCGCGATTCGCTGCCATGGCGTCCCAGGTGGAGCTTTCTCTCTGTGATTCCGAGTGATTCCCAATGATTGACCGTTCAGACAGACCGCATGCGACTCGGTTGATAGCCTGTCACAGGCAGGAGATTGAGTGAAGTCTTAAGATTGGACCGTTAGAAGAGGGGAGGAGGGTCTGAATCGGAGGCGGTTTGCTCGATTGAGCTGGGCGAAGAGGGTCTTGGTGGTCTCGGCAACGGTGATTTGTTATGATGATCTGTTGGCGATGAGTGGACAAAGTTCGTTCGCCGTTCATTCGTTGGCTGATGTCCTTCCTTTGCAGTATTGATGATCGGAGGAGGATAGCGAGAGGTCATCCTGCAGGCGTAGTGAACAGGTGGAAGCATCTGGATGTTTATTCGTAAGGGAAATAAACGCCTAGGTATCGCGGTGTCTGCTGGGAGCGGTGGCTGGGGCTTGGTCATCTGGCGGTTTGGATTTTTTGTCTTATTTTTTCAGGGTCCCGTCGGTTGCAAGGAACATCCTCTCAGGTATGAGGTGGAAGCTAGGATGGCAGTCTTTTCCCGACGAACGCTCAGTTGGCATTCCAGTCCGGCCAAGGACATTACCCCAGGCGGCCACATGCAGGTGCAACGGGTAAAGAACAAAAAGTTCGAAGCTAGCGAACTGAAAGCAGAGAAACATAAGGCACAAGGAGATGGGGTTGGAATGGAGGTTAAAGTGAGTTGTTCTGAGACACAAGACACCTACAATATCAGTACGTAGTAAGTTGTGCAGCTGGCGGCAGCACCTGCCATTCGGTACCGGGTCTGAGTGCCCAAGTGCCTTCCTTCCTTCAGCTCAATTCGCAGCTGTCAAAATGTCACCATTCCTTCGCTTAAGAGAGGTCAGAGTGTGTATAAGTGGGTCTGTTGTAGCGATCAGAAGGGTCTCTTTTTGTTCACTTAGTGTCTTTCAGCGTCTTGAGGTACCTGAAATGACGTCGGTACGTACTGCCAGCCACTAGCGTCCAGTCACACACCACCCCCAAATTTAACTCCCCCAAAGTCCACCACCACCACCGCCAGTCTACCACCATCCGCCGCTACCTCTCCACCCGGTCGCCCATGAGAAATTCCCAAAGTAAACACAAAAGAATTCCTGGCCCCTTCTCGTCCCCTTCCCCGTCATATTTTCCCTCAACACCACCACCAAACCCGTCCTCCACCAGGAACGGCGCCGTGTCACCAGACAGCTCTATTCCCTCTAGAACTTCCTTACTAACCAGCAGGGCAAGTTCCAGAACAACAAGAATATTTTCTTGTCTCAGCCTGCTTCCCCGCGATCGGACACAATCTGGACCACCAAGCACCCGCCACCTGCAAAAAAGCGCAAGGCCGGAGCGGGAAGACCACGATTCATTCGGCCCAGGCACCAAGCATCGACGACAAATACCTCTCAAAAGACCCGATCCGACCCCTCTCTCGCTTTGACGTCTTGGTCTTTGCCCGTCTTTTGCTTGCTTGGCTTCTGGAGTTTGTTTTTCTGCATTGTTGCTTGTGAGTACTTTTATTACAAACTGCTTTGCCCTTTTCTTTCCGCCAATCTATGCCTTGCTGCTGGTCTTCCCACTGCCACTTCTTGCCTTCCAGCTATCAGATGGCACACAGTTTTGCTGCTGCTAGGAGAAGAAGAATTGCTCATGGCTTCTGTGCAGACGCTTCACGATATAACGACCGTCAATGGACCTCCTGAGATACCACTAGACTTCTGCTTGCTTCACTACCCTCTATCGAGACCTCAGGTCTCCAAAAGAGCTTCAAGGCTCTTATTCCAACCACCTCAGTCGGCATTCACTGCCAGAAATCACCACTCTCCACCAAGAGGTGAGGTCCGCTCAGCATGAGCGCTCCTCCACCGCCTCCGCCTCATGGCGAGGCACCCAAAACCACTGCTGGCTCTCCGCCTCCTGGGAGTGGCCTGGGCCCAGGCAATTATGATATATTCGTCATTCCCCAGCGCGATAAAGGCGGTGGGTTCATATATTTGCCCTCTCTGGCCCCCAATGGCCCTAGCTTTGCCGCTGGCTTCGCATGCGCCCTTGTCATGGTCGTCATGTTCCAGAGCATGGCACCTGCTTTCAAGGCATGGTGGTTTACCTACCAAGGCATGGGAAACATGGGTATGGCCCTGCTTGTCATAGCCGTCGGCGTGGGAGCGTGGGCTTGGGGCAAGTCGCAGAACCAGGGCGCGTCTACAAATAACGGCTCGAGTGGCTACCGTCCCGGCCCTGGTGGCTATGGCTCAGGCGCAAACTTCAACAACTACGCGAATGCTGGCCCGCCGCCGCCTCCTCCGCCTCACGGCAATCAATATAACAGCCCTCCCCCGAACAGCCCGCCGCCCAATCACGGCGCGGGAAACGGCGGTCCTAGGTCTCAATGGCAAGAACGACCTCAGCCTCCACCCCCTCAGGAACCTGAAGCTGAACCTGAGCCAGAGCCGGAACCTCGGAAACCAGATCCTCCTCCCCCACCAAAACCAAAACCTGATCCGCCGAAAGCAAACACCTGGGAGAAGGCACGGGAGGAGACGAAGAAGCGCGAACAGGAGCGCAAGGCAAAGGAAGAGGAAGAGCGCCGAAAAGCAGAGACGGCACGGAAGCTGAGGGAGTTTCGAGAGAGAGAAGCTCGAGAACGAGCGAGGAGGGAGCAAGAGGACCGCGAAAGGCGAGAAAAACTGGAGCAAGAAATACGCGAAAAGGAAGACTTGAAACAGAAACTTGAAAAGGAACGTCAGGAAAGAGAGAAACTACAGCGCGAAAAAGAAAAGGCAGAAGAGGAAGCCAAAGCCGCCAGGGAACGCGAAGCAAAGGAGGCAAAGGAGCGGGAGCTCAAGGCCAACAAGGAGAAGGAGGACAAGGCACGTGAGGAGGCCCGCAAGAAGGAGGCTGCCGAAGCCGCCGCCCGCAAAGCCCGTGTCGAGGCGCAACTCGAAGCCTTTCGGAAAGCCAAGAGAGAGCGCGAGGAAGCAGAAAAGGCAAAGAAGGATCGAGAAGAAGCAGAAAAGGCCAAGAAGCTGGCCGAGGAGGAGGCAGCTCGCAAGGCCAAGGAGGAAGCTGCGCGCAAGGCCAAGGAGGCCGAAGAAGCCGAAAAGGCACGCAAGGGAAGTAGCTACGCCTACTCGTCCGGCGAGAAGACGAGTATGTGGCCCAACGGCCGACCCCCAGCTCCCCCCTCCACGACGGCTTCCACGCCGCCGAGACCTCCCCCGTCCGCATCGTCCGCTCCCCCGAGACCTCCCCCCTCTGCTAGCTCTATGCCGCCTCCAAGGCCAGCGCCCTCCGCAGCTTCATCCTCGAACACGGCCAGACAACCGCCGCGACCGTCGGCACGCACTGTCGACGAAGACCAATACTCGTATCGACCCTACGATAAGCCGAGACACCGACCCGCGTCTTCCGTCGGCTCCGAGTCATCGTGGGCCCCGTCGGCCACCACGACAAGAACAACGCCGCCGCCTAGCATGCGCGGCCCTTACACGACCAAGGATCCCGACAAAATTGTCATCAGGGCTGTCTATCTGTTCATGAACCAGTTCGCAAAGACACCTGCGAGCCAGCTCGTTTCGGGGTTTGGCACAGTGACAGATGGGCTCATCCTGCGAATCACAACCGAAGGTCTCTTCATCGACGACGACGTCCGCGGCGTCCCGCAGCGCGAGTGGGACGTCAAGGCTTGGACGCTAAAGCTGGTCGAGGTATGGTGCCCCCCGCACTGCTTGAATTCGAATGCTGCTTCTGCCCCTGCGATGAATTCCGCGAACCATCCTTCGGGTTTGTTTCAAAAAATGGCGAATCAGCGAGCCCGTACGGCGGACCGGGGAGCCACCAAGACGCTCACGGGCGACGAAGCCGATGCCTACCTGACCGAAATGTTGCGTGCTTGCAAGAGTTGTTGTCGTCTTGGCTTGTGCGACACCAAATTCAAAGATACTAACATTGCATCTTCGTCCGGACAGACTGGAGAGTGGAAGACAAAAAGCCTGCACGTGCTGCGCGCTACAGTCCGAGACCAAGAGGGCAAGCGCTACATGTTTGTCCTGGATGAAGAAGAGGCCTGGAAGGTCGCCGTGGGCGTGCAGCGGTTGCGTAAGGGCACCCAGGTACGCTCGCTAGGTGTCAGCGGCATGAGCGCATCCGATGCGCGCAACACACTCGAGACTCTGGGCTGGTCGTGAGACTGCTTGGGACGACATCTCATTCGAGTCTGTACCTTGCGTGTTGGACGTTTGGGCCCGCCTTTGTCGATATCATAATACGTGTGGCTGGGAGATGGCGATTTCGGCAAGGGATAACCAGGCAAGGCTAGTGTCTCCTTCTCATACGACAACTTGTGGAGGGTCGATTCGGAGAAATGGACGTGCCAACATTATTGGCATTTTTCGGGTTTCGTGGAATTTGGTTTGCATAGCAGAGCGCGGGACGGTCAAAAAAATTCCAGACAAGCTGGGACAAAACCATTGACGAATGATTTTTTTCAACAGCATTGATGGCCCGGCTGGGCACATCCTAGGATACCTCTAGTTGTCGACTCTACTCACTTTCTCGACACTGACAACCCCGATGGGGATGGCTGTGTGGGAGTTGTTTGATGAGTTTGACTACTTAATGACGATACGACTTCAAGTTTCCAATGCATGATTATTGTGCGTTGTAAGGTGATGGGATTGGTGCCAAACATGAAGTTGCTCATGACTATTGAGAGTGAAGTTGCCAGCCACAGTTCAACCGGGCAACCGGGATGCGTGGGGTTGTCAACAGGAACTATCCTGACAGTGGAGATTCTCTCCTCGCACTCTCATAAAGACGTTTCTTATCTTTTGTTATTTTCGTTCAGAAGAGCAATGACTTCTTCCATCAGTGGGGACCTCCTCGTAGTAAAAAGTCCCGCATTCGGAGTGAGGTAAGGTGCTGCAGAGTACTTTCCGTGTCGCTATCGGCATTTGCGATAACTACCAGACCCCTCCAATTGGAGACTACATGTGTAAAAAAGCCAACGCAGGGAAGACGGCTTGGAGATATCGGAGACGAGAAGGGGGGAAGGAAGATTACATGTACCTAATCTGCAGCCTCTGGCGGTGTTTAGTCGGCCAAGGACAGGCTTGACTGACTCCAACTCGTCATAAATTCTTGGCCTATTCTCCATTCTCCAATTTCAGGTGCCTTTATCCACTTTGGTTCGCTCGTTGATGACAACCTAATCCAGCAGAGTTGGGCTTATCTGCTGTTTCTTCAACCTAGACTGAAGCTAGCGTGGACTGTATCTTTCGAGAAACAATTCAAGCGCGGGGAACTGGAATAAGCTTGTCAAAGTTTGAATGCAATTGGAGACCGTCTACGGAGTATGCTTTTGAGTGTCGGATCGGCTCCGACTGAGTTTACCGGCCCGCTGGAAACACGCTGAGGGAACCGTCGTGTCGGGAATCTTGCGCCCGTTGAGCTCATTCTTAGGTTCCCTTTCCCCAGATGATGACGTCTCTATATGAGATGGGATTCGATCTGCTGCTTCGTTTCAATGTGACGTATGCTGATCGTCAGGTTCTACATTTCTTCCGTGGTGGTGTGCCTGCCAGTTGCACTTGGCCAAGAACATGTATGTACTCTGGTTGGAGGGGTTGGTAACGGCCGACCGGTGACAACTCCCGGCCACCGGGGAACCGAAATCCAACTACCGACATCGGCCGGGACTCTGATGAACGTCAATACGAGCCTGAAACACTCATTCCCGCGATAACGGATAACGACTCGATAATCAAATGGACTTTGCTAATTCTACTTTGTATGCCGATTTGCTCTACAACCCCATCTCGGCGGGGGGGACTAAAGCGATGATGACAAGGACAAGATACCCCAGCCCGTTAAACCGGTTCCGGCTCTCAGACTCTGCAAGCTAGCGATGCGGACTCGCATGCATGGTCCCTTTCGTGGAGTCCTCCCCATGATAAGCAACCGCAACCCCCGAGGCCTGGACGACCGAATCAGATAAGCCTGGTAAGATGGCGGCTATTATTGCTTTCTTGCCATGGTCCTGATCCTGAGCAATTTGGACCTAGCTAAGCCAGTTATGATATGGGAAAAGGCACCAATAGGTAACCTGCAGAGATAAACCCGGGCAGGGAAAAGGAAATCCCATCTCTCCACCTACCGTACCTTACCTATCGTTCAGATACCAGGAATTGGTCATCTTGATTGGATGTTCTAACCCAAGTCCGGATATACGCATTCCTCATATAAGAGAGATGTCGCATCCAAGTTGTCCAGCAGTCTTGCTGCCCAGGCCAGGTACTCAGCGCAAGGACTGAGACATGTCACTTCCCGCGATGAAGGCATTCACACTCTTCGCCCTCGTCGGCGCCGCCGCCGCCGACCTCACCTCCACCGGCGCATCCCTACTCCTCAACGACATCTACTACTTCGTGTCTCCCTTCTCCCAGGGAAACCCCTCAAACTCCTCCTCCTTCAACATCAAATCCCTCCCCCGCGCCTTTGGCTTCACCCCCGTCACAGTCGTCGCCGAACCCCTCCCCAAATCCTCCCTCCCCTCCCTCTTTGCGAACTGGTCCTCCCAAGACGACGTCTGGCAACCCGCCTTCCTCGGCGCAATCTTTCTCGCCGGCCTCGACACGCCGTGCCTCACAAAAGAAAGCTATGACGGCACAAATAAGACCCAGTCCATCGTCGCGCCCTTGGTCAGCACCGCCGGCAGTAATATCCCCTCGGGCCCATACTTCCTCGACACAATCACTGGCGCCCTCCACCAAGCCTACCGTCTGTACCCAGACTACGCAGGCGCCTTCTCCGAGTCCCTCCTCCAGAAGCCCGATACCACCTTCCAGACCCTCTCCGCCCAGGTGCCCGCCTCCGCCTCCCTTACCATCGGCGTCCCCTCCCGCCTCTACTCTCTCTCCGTCCGGTCCCCCGAGAAGCCCCTCGCCGGCGTCCGCGTAGGTGTAAAGGACATTTACGACCTCGCGGGCGTGAAGAAATCCAACGGCAACAGAGCCTGGTACGCATTCTACCCGCCCGCGACCTCCACCGCACCCTCAATCCAAGCTTTACTCGACGCGGGCGCCGTGGTGGTGGGATACCAGAAACCCTCGCAGTTTGCAAACGGCGAAACGGCGACGGCGGATTGGGTGGATTACCACTCTCCCTTCAACCCGCGCGGCGACGGCTACAACGACCCCTCGTCATCGTCCTCTGGCGCCGGAGCCTCGATAGGTTCGTATGAATGGCTGGATATCGCTGTTGGCAGCGACACGGGCGGTTCCATCCGCGGCCCGTCTGCGGTGCAGGGTCTCTTCGGAAACCGGCCTTCGCATGGGCTCGTTGGGTTGGATGGTGTGATGCCGTTGTCACCTACCCTCGACACCGCCGGCTTCTTGACGCGGGATCCGTACATTTGGGATGAGGCCAATAAGGTGCTGTACGGGGCGAACTATACATCGCTGGTTGAGACCGAGGCGGGGGTAACGTACCCCAAGACGGTGTATACGGTTGACTTCCCTACCGACGATGGAGCCGCCGCGCAGATGCTGAACAAGTTTGCGGAGGACCTGGGTGCGTTCTTGGGCGCCAAGGCGACGGCGCTGAATTTGACGTCGGCTTGGGCTGAGACTGGTCCCGAGGGTGTGCGGAATCAGACGCTGGATGATGTCCTGGGGTTGACATATGCCACGCTCATCACCAAGGAGCAGACGCCGCTTGTGCGTGATCCGTTTTATGCTGATTATGCCGGTAAGCTTATCTCCGTGTTCTTCTTTCTTCGCATCTTTGCTTTTCTAGTCTTCAAAAGAGGAAAAGACCCTGTTGCTCTGTCACTTGCCAGCTGAGGAACAGTTGTTACACACCGACTTACATCATACCTAACAGCCGCTCACAACGGCCGCCTCCCGTTTGTGAACCCCGTCCCCCTCGCACGATGGGGCTGGGGTGATAGGCAACCCGCCAGCGCCCTTGACGACGCAAGAGCCAACAAGACGCTCTTCATGGACTGGTTCAACACCGAGATCCTGCCTCCCTCTACCCCCGCCCTCAACACCTCCACATCGACATCGACATGCTCCTCGTCCCTCCTCATCTACGTAGGTTCATCCGGCCGCGCCTCCCTACGAAACCGCTATCCAACGACCACGACGCCCACCCCGCCGCTTGGCTTTTCCAACGGTCGGCTGAGCGTCTTCAGCGGAGCGCCGGACCATGTTTTCCCCCTGGGAGAGGTCGGTAGCGTGAGTTCTGTGACGAACGTGACGGAGATGTTGCCTGTTACTGTGGATGTCATGGCGGCGAGGGGGTGTGATGGGTTGATTGTGCGGTTGGCTCAGGATCTGGTGGAAACTGGCATTTTGAAGGTGCCGTTGGCTGGGGGAACGCTTGCTGGGGGTGAGGTTTTGATGAGGCGGGATGTTGAAGAGTGGTTTTGAAGCGAATAGACCGTACGTAGACATGGAGAAGATATCTTTAAAGACAAATATAGTACTAAGTACCTTGATATGAATCATTGGCAGTAAGGTAGGCAGGTACCTTAGCTTCATCGCTCCTTCCTACCTTGGCGTGCCTCCTTCCCCCTGAAAGTTGAATCCAAGTCGGCGGACTCCTGATCTTCCCTCCACCTGGTACCTAGGCACTCCTACGGTACCTATTCACACCCCTCTGATCCCATTCCTGTCACTAGCACAGCAGCGCCCGATTTCTGCCTATGAGGGAGGTTTCTGGCGGCAGCCGGGTGCTATTTGTGGATAGTATAGGGCTGCTGAAGAAACGCTACCTCTGCCGAGCACAGGGACCCCTGTTGGCGTGCTTTTTGGAACTGAAAGGGCCGGATTAGTAATAGCCCGGCCCGGGCACGAGAAGAAAAGTGTATATTAATAGATTGCCTGACTTGCTGTACGCCCTCTAGGGGCGGCATAGCACATCATATGCCTTAGAAAGGCGCTCTGGTCGATCGGAGGTTATACTCCTGTCCCCGATGATGTTAAATACTACTACTACTACTACTACTACCACAGCAGCGCCCGTCTAGGTCGTCGAGGTCAGGTCAAGCTGTGTGCGAGGTGATCGAGTGATCAAATAAACAAATACTCCAATGAAGTCAGAGTTCGAGCTGACTGAGGGGCACGCTGTTCGAATTTGGGCAGGAGCGTGAGTTCTAACGTGAGTGTTCCGTCTCCTCCCTTTGCCATCATTCTTTTTGGGGTTTTCAAGTAGCCTGTAGACCTGAGATATTGATACCTAGGCAAACACTGTCGTCCCCGTGACTGATGAAATCACATGGTCCGATTAATGTCCTAGAACCTGCTATTCGAGCTGTTCATTCCCGTTGAACTGAACTTTAGCTACGTTCCGGAAACAACACCCTCGGTCATATCTAAGACCTAATGCCGAGAAGACTCGGAGTCATGGACGCACCTCACACTAGTAAGCCAGCTGCCATCTCTTCTTTGGGACAGGCAGAACTCAAGTCTGCCGCATGACAAAGGTCATTGGGTTATCGTATAATCCAGCAATTTCCCTATTCTCGTGGAGACTGGATTCATTCCAACTGAGACCATACGTCATCGCAGCAACGAATGATTGGGAGTCCTTCGAGACACATGACCTAAGAGATTTCTCTAAAAGCAGTGTCGAATGGTAACCCAAGAATAGGGAGCTGTCAAAGCCTGAATGACGGCTTAGAGAAGATTTCACTGTTCAAAAAGGATAAGAGCGAGGAACCTATTGTATACCATGTCATGCGAATCAACGTATCTTTGCACCGACGGTGCTTGTGTAACCAGCCGTCTAGCTCATCAGTCGTCCTAGAAGACGGGAACACCGAGCTTCATGTGACCAATTGACCAGGATTGGGGCCTTGGAATTCGCATACCCATTCCAGCTCATTGGGTTGAAACACTGCTGATCATTGATTACCGTTCAAACCAGCAAGTAAAAGTCGATCAGAGGTTCAAAGATCTTCCTGAAACACCCACGCGATCCATAGGATCTTGTCTGACGGTACCTTGAAGATTATCGAAACGCATCATATAGCTCGTGACGTGTTCTCGAAGCACCGGGAGAATCTTTCCCAGATCTGGGGTTGAGACAAAGATGAGACGAAGGATCGTCACTTAGTTGTACGCGGGTAAAAGTCCGCTCAACCTATCTTTCACAACTATTCTCCCTGAATTTCAGGGTGAATCAGTCGAAAGGTAATCAAGACTGCAATGGGACACTATCAGCGACTGGCTGCCGCAATAGATATCCACAGTTCATCCCTAGATCGTCTCATAATTCTCCGGCTCCCTAATTTCGAGTCAGGTCTGTGACTGGAATACGCGTAGTCGCACAAAGTGCAGTGACCGAAAACTACGAAGAATGTGGGAGCAGGGACGTTCGCCGATCACTGACAGTGGCACTCTACATCCGATATTCTATGTTGATTAGTGAAGAGGAAGTAGTGAACTAGGATGGACGCAACTACAATATACGGCAACTAAACATGAGACAATGGGAACGCGGCAACTTCACAAAACTCGCAGGGTTTCAACCTGCCAACAGCGACTTTACAGCCCACACGCTCCACATAATTGAGTTTGTCGCGAGCATCGTGCGTTTGCCTGACACCTGGCTGGCTGGCCGAGATCCGGCTTCTGAGTAGTGTACAATTGAGAAGTCATTGAGTCCACCGGCATGTGGTGGAGATACCGTAAATCCCCAAACGAAGAGTCATGGGCCAAGAAAACAGGACAATGACTCTCAAACATCAAAACAGATACTCCTAATCAGTGCCCAGCCTACGAATATGTGGAAGCGGATGAAAATGATGTGTATATAATTCCATTGCAATGCCCTCATGCAAAGTACCTACATCAAAATCACTCGCTCTCTCTCTATTTCTCTCTCTATCTTTCTCGACACCTCAAATCACAAGCTCAAGTCATTACATATTCAAAATGAAGTTCACTCTCGCTACTCTCCTTACCATCGTCGCCGCAGTTTCTGCCGCATCCGTCGACATCGGCCTTATTGCGAGACAGGATAACTGCGCTTCCAAGGGCGGCAAGTCACCACTCACATTAACGTGTTTCTGAGCACCAGGGACCCAAAGCTAACTAGCAATTTGTAGCCAACTGCGGCGATGTTGGCGACCGTGCATGCTGCAGTGGCACAACTTGCCAGACCACTCGGGCACCCGTCGGCGGCGTCGGAATGATCTGCACGTAGACGATTACATATAGGTGGGTAGTGAACTTTTTTTTTTCTTGAGCGGTACCCATGCTGATATTGATCCTGTTCTAGAGACACGGCCATGGCTTAATGGCCTACATACTACCTAACCTCGAATAGAAGGGGTCACTGTACTGTATATTTCACTACGAGACATCAGAGGTGTTGAGCGCTCTTGATGTTTCATTGTTGTCAGTGTAAATTGAGGCGGCCACGGGCCATCTTTAATTAAGAGCAAAGTCAATTTTGCGTTTGCTCTAACATGCTTAAGTTGATTGGCGAGAGTCTAAATTTATGTGTGACCACAAGATATTATGACCTGCTTTCTCTCTGCCCTTTAGATGTTTTTCGCGTTGAAGATATCTACCTGCTCCTGCTTGTGAAAGCATCAGCTTCAGCATGATACAATCGCGCCCAGAGACTGAAGGGAGTCTAGATTGTTATTTTAGCTCAAGCTTCGCCAGGTTGACATTTGACAAGTTGACTACTTTAGTAGAGTCTAAAAAGCTTCGGCGTGATTTGACGTCCCATGAATGGATTATAGTTCATCCCAACTACCTACATGAGGTATTCAGCGGGCATCTTTATTTGGCGAAGCCGCCCACACGCCCGGATAGGAACCGGCGCGGGAGGTCCCCAGAGCATTGAGACATCGTTGAGCGACATCGTTTGTGGATCGATATCTTTGTGTAACCTGACAAAGATCACCAGCTAGCGTGCGTTTCGAAACAAATCCCCCGGCTCCCTAGAACAAGACGCGGGATCTTCTCAGTGGGAGGTTATTTGGCGTTTTTGGCCGCTTTCATACTAGTTCCAATTATCGCCGGACGCTAAGTACAGCTCTCACTGCCTCACGGGCTCCGTCAAGTTGTCAAGTTCCCATTGAGGTCAAAGAGAAAGCTGCCGGCTACATCCTTAGTACCTTTTCAGATCTTGGCAAAAAGCTTCAGACACGTGGGTTTACAACATGGCATTCAGAGTTTTGCCGTCGTTCCTGTTTGATGAGGGATTGTGGCGGCGAGAAGCAAAGATTTACGTCTTTGTGTAGGTGCCGGGAAAAGCTAGCTTTTCTGTTAGGTCAGGAACGAAGCCAGACGGTTACTCCAGCCTCTAGAATCCAAATGGGAACGTTCACCCGGAAGTCTTTCAACCCAACTTCGCTTCTGACAACAAGACTATTGTTCCTCGCGGCGCTAGATATGCATGATGGCCATGAGAGCTGAGTTCATGGCTTCCTTGGCAGTGGAATTCCTCGTACGTTACACAAAGGACTTCTGCAACTGCAGACTCCCAGTCGGGCTTGACGGTAATGACACCGTCGTCATTATAAACCAGCCTACTGTTCATGTCAATTATATCGAATCAACCAGCTCATCATCCTTCTGTCTCTTCTTCTACCCATAACTATGCAGCTTCAAATCTCTATCTCAGGCTTGTTCCTGGCGCTGACTGCTTGCACCAATGCAGCTTCCATCGCAAAGCGAGATGTCAGAGCTTCCTCAACCCTACAGACTGGATGGTCGTACTCTGGCTGTTATACCGACAACAACAATGGCATCCGACAATTGTCACGGGATGGATACAGAGATTACAGCGCCATGACCGAAGAGTCATGTGTAGCATTTTGCAGCAGCAAGGGCTACTCCGTTGCGGGAGTCGAATATTCTAGCGAGGTAAGCAACACCACCTTGTCCTCCTCCATCGCATACATACTCACCCATCCTTTCCAGTGTTACTGCGACTACCAACTGGCTTCAACTTCGCAGAAGGAGCCCGAAGCAGACTGCAACATGCCATGCAGCGGCGACAGCTCAGAAGCCTGCGGCGGCAGCGACAGACTTTCGGTTTTCACAAACGGCGTCGCTGTCCCCGTGATCAACCCCGGTCCTCTTGGTTGGTCATCCCTCGGCTGCCAGAACGACCCCGGCCCAAGACTCCTTTCCTACCGGACTGGCGTCGTAGCCGGAGACTCGAAGATGTCCGTGTTGCAGTGCACCAACGCTTGCCAGGCTGCCGGCTACTCACTTGCCGGTGTGGAGTACTCATCTGAGTGCTATTGCGACAACCAGCTCCGCAATGCAGGCTCTTCGGGCTTTGACGGATGCAACATGCTCTGCTCCGGCAACAGCTCTGAGTACTGTGGCGGCCCAAATCGTATCAACGTCTACCAGGCATCCGCTAAGCCGAAGACTCCCAGCGTTTTGCCCTCGGGCTGGGCCGACAAGGGATGTTTGAAGGACAATGTACTTGGCCGAGCTCTTACGGTCAATGTTGACGTCGTTGGTGGCACACAGAACATGTCTGTCGGCGGATGTATTTCGGCTTGCACTGCTTCTGGATACCCCGTTGCCGGCGTCGAGTACTCGCAGGAATGTTGGTGTGATAGCCAGATCAGAAACGGCGGTGTGGCGGCATCGGATGGTTGTGATATGCCTTGCAAGGGCAACACGGCAGAATTCTGTGGCGGAAGCAACCGCCTCAACATCTATGCTTCGGGTTCTTTGAGTTTGCCGGTTAGCTCGACGTCCTCTCCCACCACTTCGACAACCTCGACAAGAACTACTTCATCATCTGTCTCAACCACCTCGAGCTCCTTTACAACTTCAAAGTCTACGACTAGCCCCACTGCATCATCTACCTCGTCTTCTGTCTCGTCAACATCTTCATCTACCTCGACTTCGTCTTCGAGCTCTTCAACGACTTCAAAGTCTTCGACAAGCTCCACGTCATCTTCAACTGCTTCCTCCACCCCGTCTAGCACTTCGAGCATAACGATCACTACGAGCAGTTCGTCCACAAAGACTTCCACGATTACCACCACGAGCTCTTCGAGTACTACTGCCGCCAGTTCGTCATCTTCGAAGACATCATCTTCCTCGTCCACTTCAACTACTTCGGCTAATGCGTGCCGCGCAACCATCAGTGAGTCTTCTCAATCAACAATTCAGTCTGCCACAAATAATCTAACAAATGTATAGACAGCGGTTATGTCCAGAACGGCGGCTTCGACAGCGGCTTTGACAGCTGGAGCTTTGCGCTTTACCAACCCAGCGATCCTGTCACGTCAGCGGTCATTTCAGACAACCATCAGACTTCAGGTTGCTCAGCTCTGTAAGTCACGAAACTCTCTGTACCGGCAGTAGATACCATCATCAAGCAAGTACCTAGCTAATACAATCACAAAGCGTTTTCTACCCGTCCGGAACTTCAAACCGCCAGGCTTACATTTATCAATCCATCACCGGCCTGCCCGTTCGAGCCTCTAGGACCGTAACGTTCTATGCAGGCCGTCTTGATTCTGCGACAAAACAGGACAATGCGAAGGTCTACGTTGCTTGGGGCGATACCGTTATGGGTCCGTCAACTGTTTGCGGCAGTTCTAGCTACCCGTGCTTGACGGCCTACAGCAACGCGGGTGGTTACAGACAATACAGGTTCACCTTCACTCCCACCGCAGCCAGCGGTACCCTTTCCATAGGTTTTACCTGGGATGCCGGGTCAAACGCTGCTCCTGTCATTATCGATGGCATTATCTTGTCTTGAGGACAGCGTTTGAACGCCGGTGTATCTTCCTGGGTGAGCGAATGATTCCTTTGTTTATATAGAACCAGCATAGCGTAGACTTAGAAGATCTTATCAGGATTTTCCTTCAACTTTCATTCCTTGAATAATCATGATCGTTAATTTCAACTCTCTGCTGCCTTTGACGCCAGAGGTATCAAAATTTCGACTCCCTCAATTGTGCTCAACGTAGGAGAGACATTAATGTAGGAAATTGCTCAGTCAGCCTTCAGTACACGTCTAAGAAAATCTTTTTGTCCAGCGATATTTTTGTCGAACGCGATTCCCCCCTTGTACAAATCAAAGTGGCCACCATCGACCCTCAACGCTTCTCCAAAAGGAGCACGTTTGACGCAGTCCTCCGCGGCACCTAAGCATGCTTCATTGTCCCATGTGGGGAGAACAACCAAGTATGGGCGAGTACTTTTGTGTATGTGTAACAGCGGCCGATTTATCATGATGTTGAGAAGAGACCGCCCAGCGATCACATTAGGCCAGTCTCGTCCATCACCAGGCGACAAGCGATTCCAACCATCGTAAGCCTCTTGTGAAGCCATAACAGCCGTGGTGGAACCATCGCTAATGAGGTCGACGTACTTCGGCTCCTTGGTTCCCAGAACATACGAACCAACGATATCAGCGGCAGCCGTCGTCGCCAGTCTCAAAGACCGGAGCAGCGGCATCTGCATCACACCAGCCAGCCCGTCAACGAGCGGACACTGCGCTATACCGGCTGCAAGCTCGTGATCTTCGGCCATGAGAGCGGTGGTGTGCATGCCGCCAAAGCTACTTCCCCACGCAACGATTCGTGATGAGTCGGCCCACGTGCTCTGATCCGGCTCCCGAACCCACTTGATGACATCGCGGAAGTCTTGCAGCTCGTTCCCGACATCGAGAACGTTCCGTGGGAAGCCTTCGCTCTCGCCAAAGCCTAGGTAGTCAAATGTAACGGCAGTGTAGCCCTCGGCAGTGAAGTGGCTTGCGAAAGGGGCGAGGCCGGCGGCCTTGATGGCGCCGATGCCGTGGCCCATCACGATGACGGGTGCAGGGTGTTTTATTCCATCGGGCTTGTATATGGAAATGGCAATCTTTTGGCCATACCGGCTAGACGTGATGAACCGATCTTCGATAGTGTAGCCCATGCTGATATCGTCTGAGGCTTCGTGACAGTGGAGGAGTCTCAGGTCCTCAAAAAGAGTCTTATGCGAGCTCGCGTTCGATGTTGATTAACGCGAGACTCATCCAGGTATGTCGTGGTTTCTTGCTCGGCGAACCACAGGGTCGAATGGCATCTCGGTTTCTAGGCATGCATAAATGTCGCACGACCATTTGCACGGACTCAATTGAGCCTCGGCTTGTTATGCGGAGGTGTTACATGGTGAGGGAGCTATCCTGAACCTAAGTGGACGTTGCAATTGCGGGGAAGTATCAGACGGAGAGCGGTTATTGCCCGCCGGCTTTTCTGTCCATCCGTCGATCCGAAGGATATAGGGCAGAGGATGTTTGGCGAATAGCATCAGGCGACTGGCCTAATACCTCTCCTTTGATGATTTTGGACAGCTTCAGTGACCATGTCTTCCTCGACTGCCCAGTCCGCCTTATCTGTGAAGCTTATCGAGCTGTTCCAAAACTTCAAAACGCCAGGCATCCTGAAGTTAGTCTTCCGGCGTGGGTGGCCGAGATTCGTTCTGGCCTTGCTGCTCGGTATAGCAACCCTTCGAAAGACCAATGGTCTCCTGAGTCAAGCGACTCTTAACAACTTCACTCAAGATAACTACGACTGGCGAAGGGAGCTCGTCGTAGTTACCGGTGGATCTGGAGGCCTTGGAGACAAGCTGGTGCGCAAGCTGGCCAAGAATTGTATCAAAGTCATAAGTCTCGATATTGTTCCGCCGAGAACTCCGCTACGTAAGTCTGGCCTGCGTTCTTGAACTATCTCTCATGAGTATTTCCGCTAAAGCTGCAGTCAGCGTCGAACGCGTCCTTCTACGAAGTGGACATCACATCAAGCAAGTCGATCAAGGAGGTCGCAAGCCAAATCCGTCAAGATCACGGTGACCCTACGGTATTGGTGAACAATGCAGGCGTCATGAAGATAGCCTCGATTCTAGACGAGACCGAGGAACAAATTCGTCACGTTTTTGACGTCAACATCATTGCCAGCTTCCTCCTGATCAAAGAATTCTTACCCTCGATGATCCACAACAACCATGGCCATGTCGTCACAGTCGCAAGTATGGCGAGCTTTGTGACAGGCGTACACAACGTGGACTACTCATGTTCCAAGATGGGCGCTCTGGGACTTCATGAAGGATTGGCTCAGGAGATCAGACATCGGTATAAAGCACCGAGAGTGCGCACAAGGTGAACAATCACAAGAATGACAAGCTAGCAAGCTGCAAAAGACTAATTTGAGCACGTCAATAGTATCATTCATCCGACCTACATAAGGACAGCTTTGATCGAAAAGGTGCACAGCTCGGGCCCCTTCAAATCAAAGATACTTGAGCCGGAACCAGTTGTAGATGCCATCTTCAAGCAGATTGTGTCTGGCCGTAGCGGCCATGTTTACTTGCCAGGGGAGTACGCCAGAGCGACAGCGATACGCGCTTGGCCTTACTGGCTTCAGGAAAGTCTCAGAAATGCGCAGAAGGAAACACTGTTACATTAACCCCAAGGAACGGAACTTGAGCTTGTGCAAAGGCTTCGACGGTTGAATTCGCAAGAACAAATTGTCCCACAATCCATCAGCTTGCCAGCATTGACCATGAGAAGTTGAAACCAATTACTTGAATTAATCGCTAGTTTTTTTACTAATAATCCTGCAAAGATATTATTCCAGGTATCCAAATGATATATAGCTCTGGCTGACTGTAAGGTATCACTTTTCGTGAGCCACGTCAATGACTTCCATCTTGTGCAGATGTCTCATTTCGCAACTGCACAGTCGTCTTGTACGACTTGAACTTCCTCGCTGGGACGCCCTTTGCGAACATTTCGTCAAGCTCTTCGTAGGAGCGACCGCCAGTCTCAGGCTGAAAGAGCCAAAGATATGCCAGGGAAAAGAGACACAAGCCACCGAAGATGAAGGCAATCTTGGCGCCGAGGTTGGCCTTGTCCGGGTTGAACATGTACGGGATAACGAATTGCCACATAACGTTGATGGAGTTTTGCGATGCATATCCGATGGCGACGGTCTTAGCTCTCAGACGAGAAGTCGACACTTCGGCAAGCAGAGAAAAGGCGGTTGATCCGATGGAGACGTTGTACCACCAGCTGTAGATGAGAATGAACGCGACGGTTCCTTTGATCATGGGCTGGCTGGTGCCCGTTCCCAATCCGCCTGTAATCAAGAGGAAGACTGTGAGAATGGCCAAACCGTAGAACGTAAGATTTCTTCGGCCGACTTTGTCAATCACAGCGGCGGCCATCAAGTTGCCAACAATTGACAGAACGGGCTGAGCAATTTGAAGCCGGTAGCTCATCGAAGTAGAATAACCGGCGAGCTGAAGATAGTCTAAAGAGCGAATTGTTAGTATCGTTGCTTTAATGAGGAATGATGCCTCGAATATAGAGTTGTGAGAAGGCGGGATACTGACAAGTGAAATAGCTGGCAACAAAGGCGATCCCGCTGAAGCTCTGAATGCATAGAGGCATGATGCTGATGATGGTTCTCCTCAAGTTTGACTTCTTGAAGCACTCCAGGTAGGTGACACCGTCTGTTTCGGCTTTCACTTCATCCAATGTACGCTCAATAAGAGCGAGTTTCGCTCTGCCCTCATTACCAGAGTGTCCAAGTCTTCCAAGACTCTTAAGGGCTTCGTCCTTCTTCCCCTTGGATACTAGCCACCACGGAGACCTAAGGTAGGTTAGTCAATTCAGAGATGTATGGTCTGCGCAAAGGATTAGGAACGTACTCAGGCATGAACGGCCAAAGAATTGCTGAAACTCCAGCAAAGCCGAATTGGCAGCAGAAAACGGTACGGTAGGCCCAGCGAGACTCGACGGTGCCAGTGTAGTTGATAACAATGAAAGCAACGAGAGGACCAATTCCGTAGGCAACACCAACTCCGCAAGTGAAGATACCGCGGAGAGCTAGCGGTGTAATTTCTCCAATGTAGCTTACCATGATAGTGCCAACAGCACCAACCATGAAACCATTTAGGAGCTTTCCGGCAAAGAAGACTGGGTTGGTCGTTGCGATGAACTCAATGGCGACGGCAATGAAGGAGATGACGAGGGCGAGGGCCAGTACTTTCTTTCGGCCAATGTAATCAGCGAGCTCGGCGGAGGCAATCGACGAAATCACGGCACTGCAGGATGAAGTCAGTATTACTTGCATAATACCGTAATCGTCAAGTCTCAGGCTTACGTGGCGATAGGTGCACCGCTAAAGGCAGACTGCCAGATAGCTGGAAGGACATAGTCTCCGTTGAATTCGTAACCAAAGTCCTTGCGAAATTCGGGAATCCCCACAACCGCACCTGCAGCCTGAACGTCGAAGCTGAGTAGGATGATAGTCCAGCAGGCGTAAACACACCAAGCACATGCCCATGGGTAACGGACAAACGACTTCCAGATGCCCATCTCATGGTCTTCAAAGTCGGCAGCAAGTGCTAGCTGAGAGTCGGCACTGACTTCGAGGTGTTTGGCATCATGTTGGGAGTCAACCTTTTCGGCTGCATAGCCGTCGTCGTAATTCGCCATGACGCAGGATTATTGTCTCATAGATGGTGAGTCAAAGAGCGAAAAGAGAGTGGTGATTCAACCTTGTTCAGAGGCCGGTGCCGGTGTGGGTTACTGTAAACAGAGATGAGGGTTGTTGGGGACTTTTAATACATGATTCGAAATCATCAAGCAACCGCACGAAGAGACTTTACCCCAGGATCATGGCGAACACAGTTTTCCTGGGGTTTGGGGGCGCTTGTGGAGAAGGGGCCCAACGGCGCGGTTCCTGAAAACCGTTCGACCGACATTTACTATGACAATGTCCCCGTGGGGATCGATTTATGCGGAGGTGGTACTGGGTAAGGTTCATCCAAGAAAACCACATTGCTTGACTTGGGGTTCTAAGGCTCTGGGTTCCTCTTTGGTGCTAGGTCGTCATCCGTGAGGGGTTCGCCGGTGGTTCGCATTGCCTATTCCGGATGGTCCAAACTGGTTTGAATCAGGTGTCAGTTAGCTTCCCCGTAATTCTTCACACGAATCCTTGGCCCTTCCTCTCGGCAAATATCTCACGCGAGCCTCGAGCTACCTATTTAGAGGAAGTCGAGCGGTTGAATAGAGTCCGTTTTCCAGCTGACATCGGGCTTTAGAGTTTGGGTCAATAATACCTTAGCTGGCTTCGGTAATCTTATCCGTTCGCAACCTGTTGAGAACGACCTTAAGAGACGACAACATCCAAACATCAGGCTGCGATCGTCTGACCAGGTCGGAAGCCGAGTTCCGAGTTCAACATCAAGTATTACCTCTGGTCCAAGTCCGACTACAACCGAGCGCCTTTATCTATCCTTCATGGCATCATCAACGACTCGAGGTGCAGCAGCCCTCAATGCATTTCCGTCAAAACCGCGTGTCTTCATTCTGACCGATATTACCAACGAACCTGATGATGCAGAATCCTTCTGCAGATATCTCACATATTCCAATCAATTTCGCACAGAAGGGGTAGTTGCCGTCACTTCAACATGGCTCAAGAACAAGGTCGCGCCGCAAAATCTCCATGAGATTGTCAATGCATACGAGAAAGTAGTTGATAACCTCAACGCCCATGCCCCTACAGACTCCCTGTACCCGTCGGCGCAGAGCGTGAGAGACCTGATCAAGTCTGGTCCTCCAGTAAGTAATATTCGCCTCCGAAATCGGCATATGGTTTTCTGACAGAGCGATTCCTCAGGTTTATGGTATGGAAGCAGTCGGTGACGATATACCGCTTAGTGAAGGAGGTGAACTTCTTCTCGAGCGATTGACGGCTCCCGTAGAAGACCCTCTCTGGGTTCTCGTCTGGGGCGGCGTCAATGTGCTTGCCCAAGTCCTCAACAAGATCCGTGACCGGCCGGATGCAGCTAAACTGCGACAGAAGCTGCGTGTCTACACGATTTCTGATCAAGATGATTGCGGAGGCTGGATCCGCCAACAGTATCCCGAAATCTTCTACATTTGCTCCGTTCACGGCTGGAACCAATACCAAGCTGCCGCTTGGACTGGTATTTCGGCTCCTTGCTCTGGCGATGTGGGTGGTCCCGACGACTCGAAGGTGACTCACGAATGGGTCAAACAAAACGTTCAGATTGGTCCTTTGGGCGCCGCGTACCCAGATTTTGAGTTTATTATCGAGGGGGACACGCCCACGTTCCTTTATCTCATTCAAAATGGTTTGGGCGTTCCAGAAGAGCCTCTGTATGGATCTTGGGGTGGCCGCTATATCCCGGTGAACGTGAGCTCAAAGGGGCTTTCTTCTAGGGGTCATTTTGCAGACGCAATTGACACTGTAACAGGTGTAGATGGCAAGCCGCACAGGTCCAATCAGGCGACCATCTGGAGGTGGAGAAATGCTTTCCAGGACGACTTTGCCGCACGTATGCAGTGGACTTTGACGTCCGATTTCAGCAAGGTCAACCATCATCCCGTCGCGGTTGTCAATGGCGATTCCGACCTGACGCCCATTCATGTCGAAGCCGATGCCGGAGGCGTGGTTACTTTCGATGCGTCGGAGAGTTACGACCCTGATGGTGACCAACTCAGCTTTAAGTGGTATCAGTACCGCGAGCCAAGCTCACTACAGACGTATCACGGACTGGAGGTGTCTGACATTGAGATCAAGGCTCTCAACGATGGGGGAAGTAAGGTGGAGGTTAAGATTGCGCCGGCAGAGAAGTCTTGCATTGTGGTCAGAGAAAAGATTCCCCTGGAGCGAGGCCTGCCGCTGCACTTGATACTGGAAGTCACGGACAGCGGCTCGCCTGCTTTGACGAGCTACCGCAGGGTGATATTACAGCCTATCGATAGAGACTTCGCAAATAGAAAGTAGACAATTGGGATCTGTAGTCTAACAAAATGCAGAATTATCAAATCCAAGATTTTTTGGATAATCAGTGGCTTTGTAGTCTTCAAGTGTGACCTAATGCATCAGCCATAGACGCTCTTCGGGAGTAAAGCATGTGTATCTCTGCGGCGGGAGTATGGGTTACAAGAGGACCATTTGGTGACCGGAAGGTTGCTGTCACTAGCAATATGTTGAACTAAAGAATGAAATCTAGTCAATTCTGTTCGTAATCGTCATGTGATCATATACCCACCTATCCGGGTAAGCAAAACCGGAGCCCGATCGGTGTAAGGCCGGCTTACTCCGGCCGGCGACTGTGCCGCAAAGGTGCCAATGTGCCGGATCGGGGCCCACATTCTCCGCAAGTCCGCCTACGGTATTCGGGCTCCGCCGGCTTTCAGAAGCTAAGTTTCAGCCAACCCCGCTTGAGTCTAGGCTTAAATTACGTCTTCGCCCTTGCTCCCTCCTGAACGGCGGCGTCGGGTGAACTATTTCACTATCTAAGCAACCTCAACAGCCTGGCATTTGGTGGTTCTCTCCATCTTCACACTGCTAGATCCCCATCACTGAAATTCACCTATCGAAACATCACCACAATGGTGCGCTTCGCCGCTAAGGATATTCCTGACCTCACAGGCAAGATCATCCTCGTTACTGGAGGCAACATCGGCCTCGGCAGGGAAACAATCACCCAGCTCAGCAAGCACAAGCCAGCCCACATCTATCTCGGAGCTAGAAATGAGTCCAAAGCATTGGCCGCAATTGAGGACATCAAGAAGACAGTGCCAGACGCGGCCCCCATCTCGTTCCTGGAGATCGACCTGACGTCATTTGAGAGCGTCAAGCGTGCTGCTAAGGAATTCCAGTCGAAGTCGCAGCTCCTTCACATCCTCATGAACAATGCCGGCATCATGGCCTGGCCGCCCGGTGTAACAAAGGAGGGCTACGAGATCCAGTTCGGTACGAACCACATGGGACATGCTCTTCTCACCAAGCTCCTCCTGCCGACGCTGCAGCACACCGCCAAGGTCGGCCCCGATAAGGACGTGCGCATCATCTCTCTCTCCTCGGCGGCCGAGAACTGGGTTCCGAGCAATCTCTACAACTTTGACGACTTCAAGACCGACATGGCCTCTACGGGCACCTGGGCGCGTTACGGCGCGTCCAAGGTGGCAAACATTCATCACTCCAAGGCCCTTGCTAAGCGATACCCTGAGATCCGCTGCATCTCAATCCACCCAGGTGCTGTCAATACGAATCTCGTCAGCGGCCCCATCGCCAGCTATCCTCTCGTGAAGCCAATCGCAGGCATCCTCACCTGGCTTGTGTCAACGCCCGTATCAAAGGGTGCGCTGAACCAGCTGTGGGCCTCGGTTAGTCCGGATGCCGAGACCAGTGTGTTCTACTGGCCTGTGGGTGTGAAAGGCAAAGACTCTAAGAACGCACTGAACGAAGAGCTCGCAGAGAGTCTGTGGAAATGGACGGAGAAAGAGCTAGAGCCCTATGTTTGAGGTCGTGTCGCCACCAAGGCATGTGAACTCAATTTGAGCAACGCCGTCGCGGGGAATTCCTGTAAGATCGTATCCATTCAAGTACCTATGAAACACATCATGACATTGTAACAATTGGTCGTAATTCGACTTGTCATTTTCCGAAGACCTTGTTCGTGCTTCAGCCCGCCACTCTGCAGGGTCTTTTCGAACCTTCTTTACCGCTGGAAATGATCGTCTTGCTAGCCTACAGCTGATACTAGCAGTGCAAACACACCGTTCTATCCATAGGACTGGAAGGACATGCCGGAGCGTAACTCAAAGCAGAGCATTGGATCCTAATATGGAATAGGGATGTGAGGCTGTCGGCACTATCGAAGGCCGCAGACGACCCCTGTTGGGCCCCAGTCCCAGAACCACTGGCGCGGTGCTGCTCGTTGGAGTCCAGACCTTGGACAACCCACTTACCAGGGTCCCCAATTGGCTTGATGATCGTCCGGAAACCTCTTGCCCCAGGATTGATTCGTGGACTTGCCGCAGAGATATCCAAATTGGGTTTGCTCAGCTCTGCTAAAGATGGACAAGTTGAGTCTCGGCCGCTCAAATAGGAGCGCAAGTAATCGCCACGCCCACAATCGGTATCTGTCACTAGCACAATTTTGCCGGCGGTTACACACTTTAGCTGCTTCTCGGTCGAATGGTGTCACTGCACTGGTCCACGGCCGAGATCTGATTATCGTTGTGGGAACCATCGAATCCCAGATAGGGAACAAGCTGATGTTCAGCTCAAACTTCGAGGTCCTAGACCGTGGTCCATCGTCAGCATGGAAGGTGAAAACGGTAATTCGGCGGCGTTTGGGGACTGTGACGCGATCACAAGACATATCTGTGGCTTCTACTTCCTGGTCGTACCTCGTCTAGAGAATTAATATAAAATCAAAGGTAAGTCCTCTTACGAGATATATCTAATAATCTCCTTATCAACACAGTCCCGGCATCACTTATTCTAACAATGGCCGATCAGCAAGAGCCCATCTTCACGCCAGCCAGCGGCTATGAGTCGTTTATTTACATTTACAACAAAACCAAAGTCGATTTTGCACTTGACCGGTCGAAAGCCATTTTAGGTTCTTGGGCCAAGGGATGCCCTCCAAACACAATCAAAGCCGGAGCTGAAGCTTTGATTCAACTTAACGACAGCTTTGGTATGTAACAAGACTTTAATCTGGCTACAGGCAACGATTGAGAGCTGATAATGCAATGTAGGATTCTCGGGCAGCCAGGGAGAGGTCGTGTACGAGCTGTACCACCCTTCTGATCCTGACAATGCCCTCTCATTCAAAGTAGAATTCTGTGATCCTTATGGCAGGTGGAACGACAACTATCTGCGGACGAAGTCGAGCAATCCCAAGTTGGTATCTTGCCAAGTGCTGGACTACAACCTCACCGGCCACCCCTTTACAGGTACTATTTCAGTCTCTGGGTCCGCGCCGTCTTTCTCATTGTTAACAAACTTTTCAGGCCATGTTGAGGTCTACTTGGCCGAGAATTCGGCAAACGAAATGTTTGATGACGCCAACTCATCCGACGAGACCAACAGTGACGTTCACGCAGCCTTCGAAATTGGATTCAATGGCCCACTTGGCATCAAGATTCGAGACCCAGTTCATGAAGACATTGCCATCGCCGCCTTCATCGCATCCAGGATGCGCTTTCCTAAGGGAACCGAGTACAACAATCTCGACGCCACCCAATGGGAGTACATGCGTGGTCTCCTTTGGAGCGATGACCCACTATGTCTGTTATTCGAAGACTCTGGAGAGAGCAACAGCGAGCTAGCACTGGGTGAAAAGTTTCTAGGAGACTTCTACGCCGGCTCTCCTAGCAGTCTCACGCAGAGGAGCCACTTTGGAGACTTGCAATTCTTCCACGCAATGGCCGCCCAGTCGAATGAAGATCCGCACGACACCAAGGCAAACATGCTTTCTTGGTTGGAAATCATCTACAAGCTCGCGATCGGTGTTCAGGATGTGAAGGAGACTGACAGCCTTGCTGGCCGATTCCCGACCCGTTTCTCCAGTTACTCTGATCCCTCTGGAGACGCAAGCCTGAGGCAGCTGTTCTTGGGCAGAACGCCTTCTTACCGGAAGGCAAACATCTCCAAGCGTGCCTTTGGTCACTGTCTACACATGGTTCAAGATTCGTATGCGGTGGGGCACACACTGCGTCGCCTGTCTAACCCAGGAGATCTGGATGGCAAAGATAGCGAAGGTGAGATCCCTATGAGCCACATCCCGACATCTCGCGCTGACTTGCCCGTCCCAGGCTTCTTCAGGTTCAAGCCCGGCAAGTTTGCCAGACTAGGGCCTATCATCACCTTCCACACCTATTCTGGCCAATCCAAGCGTCATGCGCACTATGATGAGTCTAAGCAACCCCGAAGCCCCAGGGACCTCGACTCCTTCAACCACATCATTGGCGCCCGAGACGCCATCGACAAGTCCATCAAGATGATCAACTTTTATGCGCTAAAGACGAAGTGGGAGAATGGAGTCCGCGACTTCTTTGCCAACGAAGTATTTGTGCTGGACTCGAATGCCACACTCAGCAACCCTCAAGTCGATGAGAGGTTCGGATCGCCAGATACGAGCAGTCAGTCGACTTTGGAGGCTGACAGGGCGGCTGATGAAGAGTATCAGATGGGTATGGAGAGGAAAATGGCAATGCTGGAGAGCGGCTTGGCATTTTCTGAGCGTGTGTCTCCTGAGCCCCGGTCCAGGTGCTTGGGTCAACTCTCACACCGATGCATGAACCCAATTTTAATGTTCTTAAAGTTGCTTGTTGCGTTCATTGCGATAGCTTGCGCAATGTTCTTGTTCAGGGGGTTCAGGTTGGCTTGAGTCTAATCACTGGGGCTACTAAACCACTGAGAACCGGGCCAACGAATTTCAAGGTGCAATTAGCAGGACCTATTACTGAGCTATCAAAGACCTAAAATACGGAGTAGTTTGAGAGGGTTGTTTGTCTTTTGGCTTCTGTGTCATGAGCTTCGCAACGATCTCGTTGGCTACATAACAATACTTCGTGATAAGTAAGGTAGATCGATAAAACTGTATATTTGGCTTCACGGATCCGAAGTGTGTTTTGAACAACATGATGTCTATCCACGGCTCCATTCTTATCTACGAACTTCGGGCTTTAGCTCGTTTCAATTGTTACGGTGTCTCTATGTCGCGATTCGGCAACAAGTTTGGCATGTTATCATAGTTTTGACGCGATTCAAGACCCATGACCACAATTGTCTACCTTGCCCGCAACAAGGTTCTTTTAACTGGCAGTAATATCATGCTTCGTCCTTCAAAGAAGCAAACTGCTTAGATTAACTCGGGTTTATGTTAACCGTAACTTCGCCTTTCCATGACACCTTAGGCGATTCCTCTCACGAGCAGGGAATAAAGTTTTTGAGGTAATTTCTTCAAATTACAATTCCGTTTTTAATGTTTGGTATGGGCATTTATTTCGATTGATGCGTCAACATTTAATCTTGGATTACTCCGTAACAGTGTGAGTAACCTGCATGGTATGATTATTTGGGCGGCGCAACTACTCCGTACAGAGAAATGATGGAAGCGGTAAAGTAAGTCCCCGGAAAGACATTTCACAGCCACGGAGGGGATTCAACCATAAATACTGGCTCGCCACCTTATGTTTATTGCCAAACTACAGACTACAGAATACTATCGAGATCGAAACTGTTCTGTGGAACAGGCCCTTTGCTCTTTGTAAGAACCCCTGCGCCCTGTCCCGTTTACTGGTACTCACACCAGCTTTCCATAGCAATATGAGATTTTCATTGTTGCTCAGCATCTTAGCTCCACTTGCCAGCGCTGATGTCGGCACTGCTGGTTCTTGGTCCGTACCCTATTTACCAACCAGGTGTAACGGCAACAGCCAGGATCAATTCCCTTCCAGCAACTTATTCGTTTCTGTTGGTGACGGACTTTGGGACAATGGGGCGGCATGTGGAAGGCAGTATCTAGTGCGGTGTATCAGTTCGCTTCCGCGCGCCTGCAAATCGAGTACGATTCAGGTCAAAGTAGTCGACTTTTCCAACAACCCCGTCGGCAAAAAGTCAGCTGATGCTACCATGCATCTTTCAACCACGGCATGGGCAGAAATTGTCGACACCTCAAAGGGGGCGAACAAGGTCAACATCGAGTTTGCGCAAGTCTAGCGTAAGGACACGTAACGTTCGAAAGAAACACGAAGGCTCGGCACATAATATAGAAACGGTTGCAATTTCTTATCATCACTTTGTGATCGTCAATTTCAACACGGTTTTAGCGACAGGCGGATATTAGTAGCTCGGTATTGGAAATATGACAAGGCTTGATCCTCACGGTGTGGCTCGTCGTATGCCACAGGCAATGCCTTCACGCCAATCAATGCTACGGCCCAGCGCATATAGTCTTGCCTCCCGATCAGTGAACCACAGAAGTCCATTTGTACCGAGACGATATTGATGATAGAAAGAAGTAGATGTGCCACGTGCGTGCTTGGCAGGAGCAGCGTTATTATGAGAGACGGGTGACTGCGACAGGATGCATGGATGTTGTCTTGGATGAGGATCCTGGCCCCGTCCATGCAATCAGCGAATGCTGTTGAAGGATTGGGCAGGCCGGGGTTAGAATGCGGTACACCATATCTTCGCTGCGGAGATTGCAATGCACCATTCGGCAATTGCTGTGATATACATAGTGATATGCGAGTATCATGCTACCCTTCGAATCAGCACTAACAAAAGGCCTTTGGGAAGTCATAAAGCACTTGTAGCTATAGCATGTCGCTTGTAGATAGGATACTTGCCATCCGAAAAATGATGCCCTTTGACAACATTTACATGGATAAGGTCGGGGAAAAGGGCAGAAATTCAGGAACATTCACCAGTCTGTGGGGTCCGAGGAAACACGGCAGCGGGCCGTAGGCTTGCTCTCGGACCTCCTCGTCGCAAACCGGATCGCCTCCCAGTCGCATCTCGGTCTGGTAGGCAACAACTTGAGTGGTTGACAGTGGCCGCTACGGGTCACACCGACTAGGCACGTCGCTTTCGGAGCAGCGCGGCCGAATAGGGCTTCCAGCTCCGGGTGCGTGGGAGACTAAAGACATAATTTGAGGCAACCATCTCTTACGGTCTATTCAGACTTTGCTCTAGAGATGGTCTCGAACAATGGTGATACTACTTATTTTTTATGGTTGGCTTCGTTCTACACTAGCTCGAGTTCTCCATCGGCATTTGCAAATGCTGTGTTCGGAGAATTAGGAAGCCTGACCAAGATGCACTAACAACCAGTAGCTCATAGTCATCCTTGTTATGTTTACGCGAGTTCAGACGATGCAACATTCGACACAACTGTTCCTGGCTCCGGATCATGATGGGGGCCAGCAGACCTCATGCCTAGACTGCCCCTGAAAGCCCAGCATTTACGGTGTAACCTGGCCACGAGCTGCGGTCCACAGTCCGAGTCTCTGCGTTCTTCGTTTGTACACTGTGATGACATGCCAACTGTTCCTATGTTTAGCTGCACGTTCGCATCAGTCGTAAGTTGATGGGTCTCTAACTCCCCTTTCCTCGCGTGGCCAGCGGAAACGTTGACGAAATCGCGATGGGTGGAGAAATCGTTGATGGCCGTTGGAACAATCATGGTTCTAGCGCGCCTTTACGAGAACTCCTGTTGGACAAAACCCAGTTACCGCGTGCGTGCTTTGACGTGGCTGTGGACCTAGCTGTTATGGCCCCCTTGTGGATAGTGACGATCTCCTCTGCCCTTCGTTTGAACTAAGCCATGGGTACGCCGCAGAATCCATCCACAATAAGCCTCCCGATGTCTTGTTTCGGTCAATGATCGACCTGTCAAGTCGTCTCGCCCAGGGGCCTCGCCGGGACTCGAAAAGATGAGGCCCATTCAACTGCCAAGTTCCGAATCCTTCAAGCCAGGACCTCAAAGACTCCGACCCTCCTTGCGACCTCTCCAGATTCGCTACCACCAATCGCTGGTCCCCGTTAAAATTGACTCGTGGAGGAGAACAAGATTTAGGGAGATGAATCGGAACCTTTAATTGTCGGGTGCCCCAAACCGGATCCCGCCTGGATCCCGTGTTTGTCGTCTTTTTTGTCTTTCTACGTTTGTCTCGATTGCAAGATCGACGCAAGACGGATCCGAAGATCATGATAGGACCAGGCGGCGATGCGCCCATGGCGCTGGCCGTTCTTTGGGGCTTGACGGGTCTTGCTTTCTTCTTCGTGCTGCTGCGATTGTATACTCGCCTTGTCATCCTTCAAGCCTACGGCGTGGACGACCACTTCTTCAACCTCGCTTTCGTGAGTGCCCTGGTTTACAGACAAGCAAACACAATTGTATCGCAGACCTTGACTGACACTTTCATACTCAGTTCCTCTTCGTCGCCTACGATGTCATGCTCACAATTTCCTCCTTCTACGGCTTTGGCAGGAATATCCTAGAGCTTGAGATGGAAAACGTGCCAAAAGCGATCTTGTACGAGGCAATCGGCAGCACAATCCTCGTATCAGCCATCGTCGTCTCCAAAGCCTCTCTAGCACTGTTCCTCCTCCGCCTTGTGAACACTCGGCTGCACCAGATCCTCGTCATCGCCCCCGTCGTCATTCTATTCCTCATCGCCTTGGCCTCTCTTCTCCTCTTCTGGTTCTCCTGTACGCCGATCAACTTCCTGTGGGACCGGCTGATCCCCGACGGAAGCTGCCCTATCGACCCCGGTCCCATATCAACGGCTGCGGGGGCTTGGAGCGTCGTCGTCGACTTTTGGTATGCCATTACGCCGTGGGCACTGCTGTGGAACGTTCAGATGCCGAAGAGAGAGAAGTTGCTCATCAATCTGAGCATGAGTTTGGGCGTCATGTGAGTTCTGCCCGCGCTATTGAAGGCATGCACCTTCGACATCGGCATGCTTGAGTGACGTGAAGTTAACATCCATGATAGTGCTGGCGCATGCGGGATCCTGAGAGCTTTGCAGCTAAAGAATCTGAGTAGTGTGAACTTCACCAGTAAGTCACTCTTCTATAGACCTCAGACCTGTACTTCCTGTGGTCAACACCACGTATCATTGCATGAGCTTATCTTTGACATTAACACCCAACAGAGGATACGGTTGCCTTGATAATATGGCATGCCGCAGAACTGGCTGTAACTCTCGTCTGCATCGGAATCCCCGTGTGCCGCCCCCTCTTCAAGGGCTGGCTCAGCAAGTGGTCATCCCGAAATGGCAGCAGGCCTGGGCCATACACCAGAGACATGACCGGATCCAACTTGGGGTTCGGTTTGAAGACGATCGGCGGCACCGACTACACCGTCAGGGTCGGGTTGAAGACGCCAGATTTGGACTTGGGAAGCCTCGCGGGTCGAAGCGGCGAGGGACGATTCGGGAGTGGCACGAGGTCTGCTGGAAAGGGCTTCGGCGACAACGAGAGCGTAGATTCAATACTGGGTCCGGATGATCGATACGGCCAGGGGCGGAACGTTGATATCGAAAGGTATTCCAGTGAAGAGGGGAGGGGGGGGAAGCAAAATATTCACGTCTGGGTGAAGTCGGAAGTGGTCGTCAAGTCGACAGCAAGAGACTAAGTAGATACACGAATCGTTGACCAGATGCAATTCGTTATGCGACTTTCACCTTCCCGTCTCAGGTTTTTACTTGCTCGATACACCTCCACTGGGCAATAGACACTCGTCCCCATCGACAACACGAGCATGTTTACGTCTCAACCTATCGACTGACTGCATGTTTACGTCTCAACCTAGCGACTGACTACGGTTGTTTTTGTGACCATGATCCTCCCAGTCCGTGGGCCATCCAGACCCCTTCGCTCTTCGCCCGTACTGTCATCGGAGCTCGTTTCCGCATTGACCTGAGTCGTCGTGGTCCCCATATTGTAGCTATCCCGACCTGCTGCGGACTTCATGTGCCTCAACTCCCACGCCAGATGCTCTTCGCTTTCCGACATCTGCTTGAAGCCGTCGGATCGAGCGCTGTGTTTATTGTGTAGCCCAGCCGCGCTATTGCCAGTGGTATTGCCGCCAGTCGCATTCGAAGTCGCGCCGTTGCCGCGTCGTTGACTTTGTAGGCTGAGACCCAGCACTCGACCAACCGTACGATCGAAGACGGGACGGAGCATTGGGCTAGATGCCACCATGACAGCGATACCGGCTTGCAAGACGCCGCTGACGCTGGCTATGGCGAAGCCTTTGGTGACGTTGATGAAGTCGATGTTGTAAGCATAGTAGAGTCGCACACAGGAGAAGACAACCGTGCTATCGAGTATGACGAGATGATCAGCTCTTCTTCACGTACAGAGGGATTTGCTAGCCGCCTCATGTTTTTAACCGATCACTGTGAAGAAAAAGAATTGCCGGCCAAAGACTTACATGAAACCGGCGCAGAACACTCCATATAGGGCAATTTTGTGCGCTCGTCGAACCTGCAGCTGGGCAACAAACTTGATCGGAAGCCCGACAATAATGAAATCAGTGATGATATCGAAGATCGCTACCGCAGAATACGCCGTGGTATGGTTGCCGCAGGTTCCTTGCACGCTCGGATCCCATGCCATCTGTACAGGCTGACAGATGAGAAATCCTATCAGAGCCGTGTACAAAGCCCAGCATACCGACAGCGCCATGGCAATCCAGGCAAAGAGCCGGAACGCCGTCGAGTGACCAAAGAAGATGCGCTGGAGCATCCAAGTGATGCTGAGCTTGACGAAGCCCAAGGCCGCGGCGTAGAGGACTTGCGTGGCGAGCGATATTCGAAAGTAGTGGTACTTGTGTTCGTCGCTGAGGTTCCATACATCATGGCCTGCGCCACCTACAACTACAGCTTCGGTTCGTAATATCAAAGTCAGTGTCCGCGCTCTCATCGCGTACTTGAGCGTTGAAGGGAATCCCTACATACCTAGAATGAAGCATGCTGCCGCACCATAGAACAACAACTCAACACTAGTTAGCGCTGGAGGATTCTCTCAACGTGCCTGATAATTACCTGAGCTGTGAAGTAAAGATAGTCTTCGGTCAAGTAGGGAATCTTCGTGATCTTCCGGGCCCAGACGCGGAAGAAGGTCCAGCATGTGGTCAAGCAGAGCATCATCGACGCCGTGGCAACGAGAGCGGCCCCCGACGACGTGAGAGGGGGAAACTTTTCAGGGATGATGGTTGGAGCCGGTGTTATGCCACTAGCCTGACGAACTCGGAGGGCATTTGGGCTTTCCATGACTGACGACAAAGAGAGGAAGATGAGAGGAAACAGCAAGATATGGATAGTCTGGCCTCAAAGGCACTTGAGGTTGGACTAGTAGGCTGGAGAGAATAGAAGTCTGTCAGGAACAGCCATCTTTCAGACTTGGACGAACAAAGGTGTGTGGTAAAGTCAACAATAATCGGGGAGAGGTATCCCAACTTTCCAAGTGACCTTGATTCTGATGAGCCCCTGCAACAACACGAGTGCTGCTCCAAAACGGAAATATCTGCGAGCGAATGCGACAAGCTTCTTCAACAGATTTCAAGGAGTTTTGATCCGCTGCCACATCTGCAGCGGTTTTCTTCAAGTCCAAGCTGCTGGATGTCGCATGTACTTCCGATGCTCACATCTTGCGGCGTCAGCGAAATCGAGATACCTGCCTTCTGGAACTATGGGCATATGGCCTAATTTGCATGAGATATATCGGGTCTTCCTGTTTCCCGATGGAAAGCATGCAATCATCGCCATTCGATTGGTCCGCATAGCGCAAACGAGCTGCAAAATCTGGTGATAGCCCTTGTCAAAAGAGCATGTAATTTGTGATTATCGTGTTGGAGGTTTGTTTGCCTTACCCATGCTGCATGTCGTTGGTTGTTAAATACCACAGACATCAAAGAACCAGGTTAGTGAATTATCACGCAGGATTCTGTAGGACTTGGATATGTCCATGGGTAGGCAGAGTCCGCGTTACTTGATGCAGGAGAGACACGTCCGTAGCTGTGCGAGTATATCTCTTGAGTAATATTTGTTTCTCAAGTCCACAATATTTCGATTTTCTGTGATGTTCCCGCGTGATCATGGTCATCTAGCAGTGTAACCCTCAAACGGCTTAACTCAGTTATTGCGTTGTGCATCACGTCCAGGAATTCTTGTGCTGCCGAGAAAAGTCTGCAAAGGTTGTGCAGCGTGCCAAGTTGATGCAAAGACGCGGCACAGCGAGCGGGATGCCGCTCATTCCCCAGGGGTTCGCGATCTCGGCTCGGTCGATTGGGTTATAAGCCCGTCCGATACCCGGGATAGGACCATGATCTTTACGGAAGTTCGTCCGGGTCTGCAAAAGACCGGAACAGCCCCGGGTGCGGGTCCTTCATCTAAGTCTGCATCGAGCCAACGAGTACTCCTGCTCCGAGGTCGTTAGTGCGTGCTTTGATGCAACTATGTTCCAACGACTGTCCGCAACGTGGATGTTTGCCTTCTTCAGACCCTAGAAGGTATGTTGGTTGTGGAAAGCATCTATGCACCTTCTACTAGGGCCCTTGCATCCGAAGCTCCAGACTCGATGACACCTGGCATGTGGCGCGACAACAAACCGCAAGATGGGCTGTCGACGGGCCCGAACTGCATTCCGTCGGACCAAAGAGAAGGTAGCAATGTCATCGTCGGAAGTGTGACGAGATCCTGCCTTGTATAAGGAGTAAGCACGGCTCTGCCAATTCATGTCTTCGCAACTCCCTGCAATTCGTCGCTCAAGTCAGCCAGTCATTCTTTTAGGCACTCAACTTCGCGTCTAAGCCATGTCGTTGTGGGATTTCATCGTTGTCGGCGGAGGCCTTGCCGCCTCCGTCATATCCAACAGACTCCTCCACAAAGATCCGACCCTGAAGATCCTGCTGGTCGAAGCTGGGCCCAATGTCAATGGTCTCGAGTCTATCGCGTACCCAAACACCAGTACTGGTGCCGGAAGCGACATTGACTGGGCTTATAGCTCAGTTCCGCAAGCCAACGTCGACAACAGATCGATAGCTGCGCCCGCTGGCAAGGCCCTCGGTGGAGGAACAGCCATCAATGGAGGTAGGCCACGCTTGTTGTCCAATGTAACAACACATATATCTAATCTCCACTCGTCTTAGCTGCCTGGGTCCGTGGCCATACCGTCGACTATGATCTCTGGGCCGAAGAGGTTGGCGACGATCGATGGAGCTACAAGGGCCAGCTTCCCTACATGAAGGAGACGGAGAAGTTCTTCGACGCCAGCAACAACCCTTCCCAGCACGGGGAGAACGGTTCCATGATCATTCAAGGCGTCACGCCCATGAACCGACACTTCCCCATGCGCGAGAAGCTGGCCGAGTCCCTTGAAGCTCTCGGTATCTCAGCGCTACCCCAGCTCGACGCCAACGCCGGAAACCCAATCGGCTACGGAGACCTCCAGGAGAACCGCAACCAAGGGCGCAGACAGCTCTCCTCGGAAGCCTTCCCTCTAGACGGCGTCACCGTCATCACCAACACAATGGTCGAGAGCATCCTCGTGTTCAAGAGTTCCAACAGCACCGCCGTCATAGCCGAGGGCATCCGCCTGCAAAACGGAACAGAGTACCACAGCCGCAAGACGATCCTCTCCGCCGGCGCCTACCGCACCCCTCAGCTCTTAATGCTTTCAGGCATCGGTCCCGCCAACGTCCTAACGGAGCACGGCATCGAGGTGAAGCTCGACCAGCCCGAGGTCGGCCAGAACATGCACGACCACATCCTCATGCCCACGGCGTGGAAGGTCAAGAACCCCTCCGAGGGCTGGGCCTACGAGTCGGACAACCCGCTCTTCAAAGAACCGCAGTACGGCCTCGGCAACAAGATCGACTTCCTCGCCACAGTCACCTTACCCAAGGAAGGACTTGCGGCGGCCATCGCTGAGGACGAGGGCGGCGTTGCGCCGGGCCCGGAGCATCCGCTCCTCCGCCAGGACCGCGCGCACGTCTCCCACACGCTGCAGTATAACGGCGCCTCGACCGACGGCTCTGCTGTCCTTATGCTGTCCATCGTGCTGATCGATACCTCGAGGGGCTCGGTGGGCATCTCGTCGGCCAACGTCAGCGACCCGCCCGTCATCAACCCAAACTACCTCAGCACGGCGGTGGATAGGTACGCCGTGCGGGAAGCTCTCAAGTTTGATACCCGGCTTCTCGGGAGCGATCTGACGCCCGTCGGTCGTGAGATCCTCGACGGCGAGCTCACGCCTGACACGCCTCTAACGGTGGATTCCCCTGACGAGGCGTTTAACGCGCGCGCCCGCCAGGTTGCAGGGTAAGTTCCTTCTCCCCCACAACAGTTCCTACCACCATTTGCTAGGAAGACAGGACTGATAGTTGGACACAGATCATGCTTCCATCCCAGCGGAACGGCATCCATGGGCAAGGTTGTCAACACGGACCTCAGCGTCAAGGGCGTTGACGGGCTTTTCGTCGCCGACTCCTCCATCTTTCCGGTTTCCATCTCTGCCAACCTGCAGGTGGCCATGTACGCCATGGCCCTCCAGGCTGCGGAGATCATTGGGGAGCACGGGAGCAAGTGTCGTCAGGTTCGAACCACGTTGTAATGAGGTGTCTGTGATGATGATATGATGTGTGAGATAGCACAACGACGAACTCTTAATACCCACGTCTTGGAAATGCGGAAGCTTCAGTCCTTGACCTCAGGCTGTGAGTTCTGACAGTATCAAGTCTCTCGGTGTACACTTCAGAGAGGCAATTTCGAGACCCAGAGTCTATGATGAGCATAGTGTCGTTCGTGCTGTATTACTCATAGTTCAAGTAATGGCCGATCTGATTGCAAAGCAGACTGCATCGTCCCGATACAATGTATAAGCGGAGCGGGGGAACCCTGAGTATCTAGATGCCAAAAGTCTAAAGCAGTTGTGAATGTTCGTTCCGCCGTGCCTACAATTCGATACTTCCTTCCAGCTTCCTACTTGTGTCATTTCATGCTTAATTTCTTTCGTGGTCCATGTGATTTATGGTGTCTGACTCGAACTCTATCGCTATATGAGAGATTTCTCTGTGGGCACATCGAACCATATGTTTCCGGGTGGTATATATGTAAACGTTTTGTCAGGTGAACTCCCTCACTTGTTACGATACCAACATTACTACAATATCTTCTCTTCTTGAGACTAGATTAGCGTGACCGTAAAGCGGGAGAGAAGAAAGAGACAGGATACTCATGCTCAACTGACAGAATCAACATGGGACTTGACTGAGCCCTCTTAAGAGCTGGAACCGGACTTGAGATTGAAGTAACTTAATTACTCAAGAGCGGAAAACGTAAGGAAATGCGCGACCCTCGACGGCCCCCCGCACAACGAACCGTCCCGACCTTGCATCGGCACGCCGCCCGGCCGCTTCAAGCCGAAGACGGGACGGAGAAGGCACTCACGAGTTACAAGTCGAGCTTGACACTTCCCCGCAGTGGCAAGTTTCCCCGCCATCGAGCGGCGGCGCACTGACCATCCCGCGTTGCGCCCTACATAGGTTGTCAAATCTCCTCATTGCTTCAACCAGGCCTGCTGGCGAAATGGCATCGCGTCACATTTCGGCTCCTTAGTCTCTCTGTGAAGATTGTAGGTTCGATCCCTACGTAGGTCGGCCTAACCTTTTGACTTTTTCACCAGTGCGCACACCCGTATTCCTGTTGCGCATTAAGATTATTTTTTTAGACTGCTTCTGGCATGTTCAGTCACTTTTGTAGATTGCAGCAAAAAAAAAAAAAAAGCTTTTGATCATAATCACTTCTACTTTTTCATCGTTCGTCTGTTCCACCGAGTTGCACCGTCAGCAATCTTGCTGCACCGTCACAAGCCGTCAGTCTGTTATCGACAGGCCATCCAACGCCTTGCAGTGACAACAACGCCCTACTGCGACAGCCTGAGCCCGCGTCCACCCGCCGACAGCTGCGACGAAGCTCAGGGTCCAAGCTCCATTAACCAATCATTTCTCTCGGATAACCTGCCTCTAGGCCTCTGGGATCCTCTCTTTTCCCCCAAATCCCACCGATCTCGGGAGCTCACCCGACGATAGCCCATCCTATCCGTTCCTGCTATCAAAAAAACCACCAAACCCAATCCAAATCCCACGAGAACCCTCACTCACACCGCAATCACCTTCTTCCCCTCCCCCAAGACCGCCGTACCACCAGCGTTCGTCGGCACCGCTCCCGCCTTCTTTGGTCGCGTGGCATTGCATTGCATTCGATTTACCCCTCACTTGTGCACTTTGGGACATATTTACCCTCGAAGAGAGCTCTCAATTGCGGGAGACAGACAAAGAAAGCTTCGCGACGATCCCCGTTGCTTCTCAAATTGCTTCACCACCAAAACACACCTCGAACCTCACGCCCGATATGTCGGCCTCACTTCCCGGCAGCCGCGAGCTGCCTGCCTCGCAGTATGATCTCAGCACATACATGGGCCGCGTGCGGCACAACCTGGGCCTCACCGACCCAAGGTACGTCCATACCCCCACTCCCAGTCGCGCATCGCATCGCATCGTCACGATCACGACTCCTTGCGCGCGTTTGTCCCAATACCATCACCACCACCACCACCACCACCACCACCACCATACAAGCCTTCCTCCTTTGTCCCCGCCAATGCTTCTACCACCATAGAACCAAGACAATCTACTGACATGTCTCCCCAACCAACAGCACCCTCCTCGTCGGCAGCACCGGTCTCGAGCAAGCAAAGTCCCTCCTCACCGACTACAAGCAGGGCAAGATCCCGACAATGACCCCCGAGCTCTGGCAGGCCAAAAAGGTCGTCGATTCGACCCTCCACCCAGGTGCGACGAGCCCATAAGAACAAAAACACACATTGCCTCTTTGCGACAAAGGGCTCGTTGCTTGTTTGCTTCTTCTTTTCCTGTCCGGTACCCCGGTGACTAACACGCGGCGCACTCGCGCCCCTCACCCCGTGTAGACACCGCCGAACCCGTCTTCCTCCCCTTCCGCATGTCCGCCTTCGTCCTGACCAACTTGGTCGTCACAGCTGGAATGCTCCAGCCCGGTCTCGGCGTGAGTTGAACCCCGAGTAGAAGCAGGAAGGACAGTTGCGGTCCTAACACAAGTTGCACAAACAGACAGCAGGCACAATCGCATGGCAAGTCGTGAACCAGTCCCTCAACGTAGCCATCAACTCGGCAAACGCAAACAAGTCCTCCCCCTTATCCTGGCGCAAGCTCGGCGAGTCCTACGCAATGGCCGTCTCCGTCTCCTGCGGTGTAGCCGTCGGCCTCAACAAGCTCGTGCCCCGGCTCAAGAACCTCACCCCCGCGACCCGCACGACGCTCACCCGCCTCGTCCCCTTCGCCGCCGTCGCCTCGGCCGGCTTCCTCAACGTCCTCCTCATGCGCGGCGAGGAGATGCGCAAGGGCATCGACGTCTTCCCCGTCGTCGCGGAGAAGACGCAGGCCGCCGAGACCAAGGAACAACAGGCTGTCGAAGGCGCCGCTGCCACCAGCCAACAACCCCAATCCCTCGGCCGCAGCAAGAAGGCGGCCCAGATCGCCGTCGGCGAGACGGCCTGCTCCCGCGTCTTCAACTCCACGCCCATCATGGTCATTCCCCCTCTCGTCCTCGTCCGCCTGCAGGCCCAGCAGTGGCTCAAGCAGCGGCCCCGCCTCACCGTGCCCGTCAACCTCGGCCTCATCCTCGTGACCAGCTACGCCGTCCTCCCTCTCGCTCTCGCCGTGTTCCCCCAGCGACAGAGCATCAGCGCGGACAAGCTCGAGCCCGAGTTCCACGGACGCGGCGGCGAGGGCGGTCTCGTTGTGTTTAACAGGGGTATCTAGAGATCTCTCTATACTGTCACTTGCATTGTTCGTTCGCTGTCATACCAACGCTGGAAGCTGGAACTTAAAAGGCACCCCAAAGCGAAGTTCCCATTGAGCGCAGGAAGAAATGTAAAGCATGAGCGGTGGGCAGACGGGAACGTCACGAAACGCGGATGTTTCTCACTGTCTACGCGATACAGGCAAAGGCAAGTCTTGCCGAAGCAGTCTTTCCTGCCTACTACCTTACCCCATGATACCGTCCATCTGCCCTGGCATATCTGTCGCAATCGCATCCGTCAGTCTGGGGGCAAAGACTCAAAGAAAAAGGAGGGCAATGTCTCCTCCGTCCAACCACCCCCCTGACGAGCGTAATATGGGACAGAGAACCCGGTATCAGATCGGACGTTGGAAGTGTTTCACGCAGCTACAAAGTCATTCTTGGCAAACACCACGATTATCTCCCCCGTTCAGATTTTTTTTGAGCCGTGGCGCATGGTATAATGGGCATCAACTGGCTGATGGGTTACATGCATAGCCTACGGCAATCTGTGTCCAGATGCACATTCAGGGAGGAACGCGTAGGACTTTGTTGTAGCCAGATGGACACAACTGTCCGCAATTGAAACAAGAACTTCAGATTCGTCACGGGAAGTCTTCGTGATATTCAAATCAATCCGCATCAGCCAAAAGTCGGAACAAAATCGTGATAAAACATGGACAGCATGCGAGGCGGTATACAAGTGTGAGCAAGGCATCGCACCTGTCGACAATCCCCACCACCGCGACATATGCTCTGCGTAAAGACGGAAAAACGTTATGCAACCGTGACGACAAGCAGCTAGCCAAACCCACCGGCTTTGACACCGTATTCTAGACCACGCCGCTTATGTGCTTCTGCACTTGTGTACTTGTGAGCGTGTGTGCCTTGACAGGCACGACGACACCACCACCGCCTCGACATTTCGAGAACGGGACAAATTACGAACTTGGCCTCAGAATCGCCATCAACGGGGGACGAAAAAGGAGGGGTGGTGGGATGACGGACGGGGTCAGCGGGGGTTGCTTAGGTACTTACCTACCATCTTATCGAGGCTGGCTCAGGCCCCGTGTAGACAAAACCAAGACAGCTCAGTCCCGTTAATTATAGTCCATCGAGAGCGGCACATGTCAGACTTCTGATAGCTTCTACAGTTGTTTCTTTCGTAGGTAGTTTGATAAGGGCCAGAGGTCTGGAAATCATGGAAATACCCTCATGCTGGAAGCAGGCGTGGGTCAGCATATCAACAACCTTTGTGTCCGAGTTCAGTCTGTTTTCTGGCCTTCATCCGACACCTCTCCAGTATAGCTCCTCCTCATCTATTTTACGATGAGACAGAATGTTGAGGATAGTGCGAGAGGTCATGGTTTTATCAAAGCTGTCCTATTATATTGCAATTCATGTTTCCTTCGCGAGCCCGCTACGAAAGCCATCTGTAGCTCTGGGTGACATTTCGTCCCCCGATTACGTGCATGCTAAAGGGGGGGGGGGGGAGACGAGCGTACCTGCGACGCAAGCACGGATCGCAGGCTCTGGGAAGAAGGAAGAAGAAAGCACAGTGGCTCGACAGCATGTTTCCGTTCAAGGAACTGAAACTTTTCGGCCTCTAGTGGTGGCAGGTGGCAGCAGCACGATCTACCTGGGATAATGCATGGTTTGAGAGCGTCGAGACCGAGAGAAAAGCCCCAATTTGCTATTCAGGTCGGGTGCGGATGCTTCTCTGCTCATGCTTCTCTGCTCATGCTGGCACGATTGGACCGTCACCCAGCATCGCTTGTTTTGACAGGACGGTCGGACAACCCCCCATCAAAACGATGATTGATCTTAATGAGGGGGAAATATAGGCTGCTTGTCCTGGGCCTCTCATCACCAATGTTTCGCGGCGAGGCACACCTTCTGGGCTTATGCTTGTCTAGTCTCGGTTGCCACGGGCTCAGTATCCTGGAGTCATGCAGGCACTTTACGCCACGTACCGGACAGGCACACACCGCGAAGACACGCGCGGAGGTCGTTGCGACGGTGTGCCGGTTTCTTCTCAAAGGTCTCTCGAAGCCATCGAATTTTGGTTTTGGCAACAATTAACAAACGCGTGACGTAGATCGTGAATGTCGAGTCCAGCTCTACATTTTCCATTTGGAAATTCTGCAGTGTGGCGAAGAACGACAAACCTGTGACCACTGGAGTATAATGGAGCTGCGTGAGCCTTGACTCTTGAGGTGCAGTTGCGTATGCAGGCATGATGTTGGTCGGGGAGAGGGGCCGGTGACAGCACAGATTTCCCTCTCTCCGCTCCGCCCTGCCCTTCTCTGTGCTGATAGATAACCTGGTCTCCCAATAAATTTCGAAGAAGACGTTCACAAGCCTCCTGCCTCTCTACGCTCAAGTCGGGTATTCCTCACTGCCTCCGAGCCTCCTCACAAGCGTCGCGATGGCTGTGACCCTTTGCCTGCTCTCCCCACCCAGTTGTAAACTACACCCATGGTTGGTCGATGGCGAGAGAAGGTGTTGCTCCTCGGAAACCCCATTGGCGCACCTTTGGACGGGAAGCAGGGATGTGGACACTAAGAAGTGCTTAGAGATTCGCCGGTGATTGCGCTGCCAGTGTGCACTGCTGGGTTGCCATAGAGGAGACGGTGGGATCAGATCAAAAGCAGCGGTATCCATAGGGATGTCAAGCCAAAAAAGGCGGCCAGTGCTGGCTGGCTGAACAAGTTGGTCAAACGCTTCCATTTCCGTGCCTCCATGCTGAAGCGTTTGTTGTCTTTCCTTCACTGTGCATCTTGGTACGGATCATTGTTTCCATTAGCTTTTTCAGCGCGATCAGATCTTGGACGACTGCGTGGAATGTGTGGATCATGCTTTTGCGCCGTGTTTGGACTGATGCTCAACGCCGCCAACCGCCAGCCGGCGGCGCTAACTAGGTTGCTGAAGTTTCCGGTGCCATGCCATAAGGTGATGCAATATTCAAGAAGGAAGAACAATCAGAGTGGTTGTAGCTGCGGACGAGGAGGCGATCAGAAGTACCAGAACAATCGGTCATGGCGAGACGAGGTGAAGTTTAAAGGCAGTACCAGGATCCATTTAGGGGACTCATCCGGTCTGCAGTATTGGATCCTTCTGACGTATTGCAGCAGCCAAAGGGCATGGGATTTCGGAGCAAACCAGCGTGATGATGACCAGGCATCGTTTCCTCGAATTAAAGTAAACTGTGCAGGGCTCTCTTTCTTGTCAGCACGGAGCCCCGATATGTCAGGCTGCCGTTGCGCGCTGGTTTGCCCTGCTCGCCGTGGAGCAGTAGCACTGGGCTGGCTGGGGCTGGTTGGTGGGGACTGGCTCCATTCATCCAACCTTTTCGTTTGTCCATCCATCGTGAAGGCGGCTGGTTTTGAGGTGTGCGTGTGTGCGCTCCGTTTGGATGGTCAGACCAAGCCGATCCAGTCCAGTCCAGTCGCGGCCATCCCAGGCTACTATGAGAAGCAGCGATCGAGTACAACGCAACTGCGAGAGAAAAGAGTATGGGCTGGTACGCTGGGCATGACTATACGGTCATGGAGTGACAGAGTGACGGAGCGGCAGCGGCAGCGGCAGCGGCAGGCCATCACTCGCTGTGCAACGACGTGACTTTGAAAGAGGCGACTTGCCCAGGCCGGCGGGACGCTAAACCCGTCTGGAAGATTGTCGTGGAGGCAGATTGGCGGGCAGCAAAGTTGGGGTGGAGGGCGGACTCCAGAGCCACCCGCCAAGTGCGTAAAGTGGGTGAGAGGAGGAGCGAGAAGGGTGAAGCACGAAGCGTGAAGATGTCGGCGGCCACTGGATTGGCGTGTCTTTGATTTTGCGAGCGTGACAAGTCAAGCTTTGGGCGAAGTCATCGGACATGGGTTCCTTGGGCGCACAACCACAAGGGCACGATGCTGTATTCGTGCATTTCGAGATGATACCGATACATGGCCGTTGCCGTATAGCTGGTTAATCTCATGAGGATGAGAATGGAGAGAACAAGCGATGAAATCAGTTGGTCGTGAAGACGGATAGGTCGATCCTCAGACTAAGTATCGACAGAGTCTTGAGTGCCGCAAAATTCCTCCCATGCCACAACCCCGGTTGTTAAGATGTCGTTGAGGGACTCGAGGGCTTGTCGGCGGTGTGTCTTCTGTCTGGAAAAGGAAAGAGCCAGCGGGAGCCGTTCGGTTGGAGCTTGGAGGGGGAGAGAGAGAGACACACACACACACAGAGAGAGAGAAGGTAACATAGAAGTGTGCTGGGTGCGTGCGTGCCGATTTACGCTTGTATCGAAGAGAGGGCGACAGAATGACTTTGTTGGAAAACGGCGCGGCGTATAAAGAATTCAAGACTGCATTTTGTGTAAAGTAAGGTAGGCAGACAAGAATGTGGGAGCAATATTCCGTACGACGATGACAGTCTAAAGACGCTAGAATGCGGCCAGACGGACAGTCCCATTCACGCCATTGAAGCACCGCTTGAGAAGTAGCGTCCTTCCTTCGTGGCTCCTTCCGTTCTTCTACGCAGTAGGTACAGTGTCATCGCTGGTTTCTATCTTGCCTACGGTAAACTACCTTAGGTGGGCAGGTGTACGGAGTACTTGGGGTTACTCTTGCCGCTCTCGTTCTTGCCTCACCAGAAATGGCGGGGCATTCGTCCTTTCTTCCCTCCAAGACACATACCTACCTTAGTACCTATCCCGTACCTACCTCGAGTTTTCAACATGGCAATTGTCTTAGGGCTTACTGAAGGCATCTCACTTCAGTTTAGGAACTTACTTACGATTCAAGCAGACGAAGAAATGAAACCTACAAAGAAGCCGGAAACCACTCGCAATGTCGAACCGCCAAAGCCCCCCCCCCCCCCCGAAATAAAGTACGGGGCCCTGGAAATATGGTGTGCGTCAAGACCGAAATGCCCTGTACCTCACTCACATCGGCGACAAGCCCCTTGTTCCTGCCGGATGTACAGTAGGCGAGAGGCTAAAAGCACGGAAGCACCTGCAAGTTGCAGCCAACCGAAGTACCTTCCGTCTCGTCCTGTCTGAATCGAAGCACCAAGCCCGAGATTCCCTTCCGAGGGAGCCATATGCTCAAAACACTGTCGCTTGCTACGTTACGGTTGATGATCCCGCGGGCACAGATTAACAACCTGGAACACGCCCTATCTCGCTTGATGAGGAACAATATTCCGTACCCAACATGGAAACACTGTCAAAGTACCCTAGTCTTCTGCCTTGCCACATCATCGCGAGTACGGACACCTCATCTCTGAACCAATCTCATCATCGCCAGGCTCTCGTTCCTCAAAGTCTGCCGCAAAGACGGCATCAAGACTCTGGCACATGTCGGATCAAGTTGGACAAATCCGGTGCTGCACTGCACGGCACTGCTTCCGCTGTAGCAAGAACGACGTTTTGAATGATGCTGAGTGGGCGTTCACGATAAGATACTTGCGTCATGGCATTGGTCTGCGGTGGTTGTCAAGTACCTGCCTTAGTCAATCCGACGCTAAGGTACATGCGCCATCTGACAGAGGCGCCCAAGCAGGCGTGGCAGGGCACAGTCTCCAAGTACCTTACCTACCTCCATCCTGCGCTTCGCCCGGGCTCCACTCTCCCACTCCCTCCGATATAAGGTACCTGTATGAACACAGGCGCTGAGGCGGACACCTTGTACCTCTAGAGTCTAGAAGGCACGAAGGGTAACAGATATCCGTAGATATTCCCACCTCAGGCCTAGAGAAGGAACTGACATGAATGTTATTGAGCCATTTGGAAGAGGCATGAGATGCAGCGAGGTTTGGCACTTTTTTTCCCGGTAGAGACGAACAGAACTCTGGTAGAGAGACCAAATACCCGACAGTCGCAGCTCTGTCAAATAGTGACCGGCTTGATTTATGATGCTTCCCGGTGCACATCAGCCTTAGGTTCCCTCCATACCCTGTCAGGACTCCGTGGTCCCTTGATTGTCCCGGGCTGCACTCGACTCGACTCGACGCGCGAGAAAGCGACAGGAACCTGTCCGTCTTGCCGCCTTCTGCCTTGGCTCGAAGTGGGCTTAACTGGAGACTACGTTATGTTGGAATCGTGGGCGAAACTTCTCTTGACTATACGTCTTGTTAGCTTTTCATTCCCCGAGGTGAACGAGGAAAAGAGTCGGGAAAGTAAAGGAAAATGGAAAGGCGACCAGTCTCTCGTCTCACTGCGTGGCAGGCACCTTCCATGGCTGGGTACTTACCTACCTTAACCTGACCAGAAGTAGCCGAAATGCGCGGGCCAGCCGCCAGGCTACGGTTGAAGATACTTCTGCCTGCGTGTGTCGGACAGCGTAGTAACAAGTATCCCACATCGGAGGTTCTTAACCAACGTAACCTTCCATCTTCCCCATCTCGTGTGTTCCGCCGCCTGTCGTCCTCATCCACTTTGGCTGCTTCCATTTCCGCTCCCACGCGCACTCGGTTGCACGCACACTACCAAAGTCACCAAAGTACACGCCCATACGCCCAGTTAGTCCCGTCACCCACACCTACCTCACTCATCAGGTTCATTCATTCCCCTTGGCTTCTTCGCCCGCGTCCAGCAATCCCAAAGTCACAGTGTGTCCACCACCAAGCCGCCCTCGTCCTGTCTTGTCCTCCCGTGCTCGTCCCTCAGGTCGTCAATTCTCCACAATTGGTCGCCTCCTCCCGTCAGGGCCCTCCACTTCTTTGCCCACCTCACCAACTGCTCCCCACGGACCAACAGAGTGAAGCGACCGGTCATCCCTCGGAACTTCGTCACTTTTTTTGGACCATAACGTCCAGCCCGTCCACCGTGGGCACTCTGGGAGTCTGCACAGCGACCGGCGGCTTGTTTTTTTTCCAGCTCTTTCCCCATCGTTATCATCATCAGCAGTCAACCCTGCTCCTGCTGTTGATTTTCCTACGACTTTCTTTCTTCTTCCATCATTCCTGGCAAGAACTTCATCCTTTCCGAACCAAAGAAACTCGCGTCGCGTCATAGCCTCTTCGATGTAGCAAAGAGGCCCTCCCAACGGATACAGCACCGCACAGCACAGCACAGTACACACATACGCCTGCTGCAGTACCTCCCATACCCATACCGCCCGTCCTGTCATCAAACGAATCCTCGACGACCCCCGTCCACTTCGTACGCTGTACCCGTACCAGCCACACTTTGCGCACGACTCGGGAAATCTAGGCCGGAGACCCTGTGGTCCCTCTCCAAGGTTAGCTAGCGGTATCCGTACCGCAGCAGCGACAAGCCGCCCGTGGCAGAGCCCAGAGGCAAAGACCGCAAAAGCTGGTCTTACCCACTCACGTCGTCAATCTGCAGCCCACTCCCAGACACCACCACCACCGGTCCACCACTGGCTCCGGCAACCAAATCCAAGGGCCGCACACAGCACACAGCGCACACTCTTTGCTGAGGGAACGCTGAAAGCCGATAACACTGGGCTTGCACTCTTCTTTCCCTCGCTCACTCCCTCCTTTTTCACGCTCCCTCTATCCTCCTTCTCAGGGCTGGATCGATCACGGATACGTTGGGACTAACCCCGAACTCCACTGTTTGGATTTGGGAACCCTCCACCCTCCATCATCTCCCCCCCAAAACCAAAGTACAGCCGGGCACGTACTCAGTACAGTACAGACAGCACTACGTACCCAGCAGCACTACCAGCACCCACCTCAGCGCTCAGCGCCCAGCACACCGGCACAGCGAAAGCCTGCGAAACCACCTTCCGCCTTCCCTCCATCATCGAACCTTCCTTCCTCGCCCTCACTCTCCGCCCTCGCCCTTCTTCTCTGTCTCCAAAGGTGATTCTCTCGACACCGGCAAGACAAGAGGAAAATCATGTCGACTCCCACAACGGCCACAGCGACATTGCCTCCTCATTCGCATTACCATCATCCCCATTATCCCTACTCACATCAGCCGTACCAGGCCTCTACTGCTACCGGCTCTTCGTACCGACAGCCAGCGAACCCAATCCTCTCAACTTCCTCATCCACAGCAACGACGAGATTGCCTCCCGCATACGCCAACTCGTCGAGCATCGCCTATTCAGCAACCTCTACTGCGAGTCACGCCGGCCCAAATGGCCTAGGCCCTTCAGCCTCGTCAGCCAGTTCGAGGACCATTCACGACGTCTCGAGTCCCGACGCGAACTACTCGCTCACCACCAACTCCACCATGCCTGCCACCAGCTCACTCTCCCAGTCCTCTCAGTCCGCTCGCAAGCGAAGACGATCAAAGGAGCCTGACTGGAACAAATTTTATAAGAATGGCCTGCCCAAGGAAATCATCGTCATCGATGATACCCCAGAGCCAGAGCAGGGCAAAGCCGTCGGCAACGGCGTAAGGGTCGTCTCCAATGGTAACGGCAGCGTGAACGGCGCCACCACAAATGGTGCCAGCAGCCGACCTGTTCCCAAGAAGAGGAAAAGAGACGACGAGCCTCAGCACTACGATCCCGTCTATCACAACAAGTACGCCGGTTCTCACACTACCACTCCTCACCACAACGGCACCCCCAGCGGATCGACCATATCAACCGACCGCACTACAAACTCCGCCATCCACACCACCGCTGCCACGTCCCTCTCTTCAAATGGACACG